ACAGGTTCGCGCCCTACCAGTAACAGGCGAAGTTTCGCATCATTGGTCGAGGCCCGCCAGCGCCGACAGCATCGGAGCGTGAGATCCTCATGGGGCAATGGCCCGGGCACGCGCTAGCTGGCAAGAGGCACCTGCACAAGCTGGAGCCCCGGCAGAGCTCGAGGACGCGCGGTGCCCCCAGTTGGGGAACGTGTCCCACACGGGGGTGGCCGCGTCGCTCGTCGGGCAGGGCTTGCACCACGCCGAGCTCCTGGGGTATCCGCCGACGCTGTCGGTGATCCTGACCACGCTCTGCAAGTGCGCGGCGGGGCGCAAGGCGCACGCGCTGGACCTGTAGCGCCCGGATCGGGACACGCCCGCGACGCAGTGGTCCAGTGCCGAAGCGCAGCTGCCGAGCGAGCAGAGCTCGGATGAGGTCATGCACGGCCTGATGCTCGAGATGCACCGTCGTGCTGATCATCGCGGCAGCGATGTGGCCGCCCTATCATTGCACCGCCTGGCCGCGGGTCAGCGTCGACCGACGCCGCTGGTGCTGGAAGCACGCAGTGGCCGTGCGGTTCCATCGCTCGCGCCGCATCAATGAGTTGAAGCTGCAGATGGCGCACACTGCGCCGAGGTGGCGCAAGCGCCACTTCCGAGCCCTCGGATCGAGAGCGCCGACGGCACGAGACGGGCGAGAAAGGCGGCATGAGCGGCAATGGGCTAGCTGAGCGACAATTGCCTAGCCAAGCGCACGATGACGCAATAATCTGATGTGCAGCAGAATTCTTTGAATAGGCACGTGGCCGAACGTCGCGGCCGAGCGTCGTGAATTTGGATCAACTGGACCAGTTGCGCGCAGAATACATCGAGTACCTCTGGGGAGAAGGCGGGCCGAAGGGCTGGGCGGCCTACGCTCGCAGCGGCGCAGCCTTTCATTCCGGGCGCCTGGCACCGCCTCCCGTCAGTTCGGCGCCCGATGGCCGCGTGGACCAAGTCTGAATTGCCAAAGCGGGCTCCGCCGTTGACGCAGGCGGTCGCGCTGGCGGTCGCAGGTGCTCTGTGCGACGCGGGGCGCCCGCGTTCCGCTATCGCCGTCGCAGTCGCGTTTCATCGCGAGCTGGCCGCGGTCAAGGTCTCGGCGATTCGGACGCGAGACGTCACGATCACCAAAATTAATGGTTATATTAGCATGGGATAACGAGCGTCGGTGACGCAATACTAGGAAGGTGGCCCTCCCGAGTCCTCCAGCAGCCCCCGCCATGGGGGCTCGTCGGTTGCGCAAGCGCCCTCTGAGTTCCGCAAGTTGCCCCGCGGCCCCCTTCGGGCACTCGGGTTGACAGCGCGCGGGTTCAAGCCGCGCAGCTTATGGGAAGGCGGAGCAACACATCTCCATCTCATGAAGGGGGACATCAATGGAACCGCCCTGACAGGGCGCCGGGCTACATCAAAACAGCCCGAATCTATACCAATCGCGCCCTTGCGAAACTCCAGGAAGCCACCATTATCTCTAAAGAATTGGAGGCGGTCCCGAGATCCAAGAATGTTGTGGTCAAAGCGGCCAGTTTGCCATCCTGGGGTAGGGCGGAGATGTGTTTTGTCGTTGCCCGTTGGGAAGGTGCCTGTGCGAGTTGAGCCTTAGGACTTGGCATGCGCGCAGGCGCAGGCGCCTCCAGTTCACCGCATGCAGATGGTTAGCCTATACTAAAGGAGAGGTGGAGCGCGGAGGCGATAGTCTCTGAGACCTGGCCATTTGAGGCCGCGTTGGCCCAGGGTCAGGCTCTGGACTGCCCCCCCCCCCCCCTGCCGTTGGTGGGAAGTCGCTTTGTGGCCCCCACGTATGTGCGGCCCCATTGTAGGCCCCCGCGTTGCGCCACTGGTTAAGCCATTATGTGGCCACTGCTGCTTGCTCGCTGGCGCGGCCCCCAGGGCCCCCCGCGCGCACGCAGGCGTGGCCCTCCGCGCGCTTGATCAGCGCGCCGTGGCCACCAGTGAGCTGCCCGCTGGAGGAGGCCTGACACTTGCGCCAACGCAGAGACATAACGCCCTGGCGCGCGATTGTCGACAAAAAGGACGCCATGAAGAATCTGCTGTTTGGCTTACCATACTGCACGGGAGTATGGCGGGGAATTCTGGAGGGAGCTCGACAGCTTCTTCCGTAGTTGTCTGGGCCCAGAGGCCCGACCCACATGTTCCCTAGCCGTTTCTTGTCTCCTGCCGTCTCGGTCTTGGGACAATGGCGTGACCGCCACCCGTCCCGTTGCAAGATTCTTCCGATATCCCCCGCAGGGAGTGTGGAGGTTTGATATTTGCGTCAATGCACAGAAATAGCGCTCCAGCGCGCGAGCGTCGACAAAAAAGGACGCCATGATAATCACGATGGCAACGAAGACGTCGGCGATGATGGTGACAACGGTGTCGTTGAGGATGATGAGGAAGCGCGCGTGCGCAGAATGTTGACGAGGGTGGCGACATCGACGATGATGACGGTGGCACTGATGACGATGACGACGACGATGGCGATGACGGTGACCATGGCAATGATGAGGACGCCGATGACGATGACGAGCACGAAGATGATGATATGGATGATGATGATGACGATGATGGCGATGGCGATGGCGACGGTGATGATGACAACGATTGTGTTGGTGCGGCCTCCGAAATCCGGAGGGTCCCACAGATGTGGTTTGAAAACACATTCGGTGTCAGTGTATCTGTGGTTGTTGAACACATGCTGTATTGAATTGGTTGGAAAAAGGATTGGTTGAAAGATGCCGACGTGCGCGCGCGTATGGCCCGCATGCTATTGTTTGAAAAAGTTGGCGGCCACGCGATGGTTGGTGAACATGTTCAACATGCGTGCAGGAGTGTGGCCCGCATGGTCTCATGTGGAACGGTGTCGAAGCACAAAGTTTTATGCGCGCGGGTGCCCTGCATCGCTTTTCTGCCAGAGATTATTAGAGAAAACACGTCTTAGATCAACGCATAAGCACCGCATTGTCTCATTCGACAGGGATAGATAAAAGGGAAGGGGGGCGATGCCTGGCTGGGATGCACCCTCCTGCACAGTGGACTACAAAACCTCGCAGGGCACCAATAGGTCAGGCCTCGGCAGGGGAGCAGATTCCCGAAACAATGCCTGCATTTAAGGATTCGTACTTCTCTTTGAGGAACTGGGCCTGGTTGATTGTCGGACCGGCTTGTGGCTGTCTTTCGCCGCCCGTCGCCGCCGTCTTTTGTCACGATGTTGCTTGTGCGAGGTTCACACTTTTCATTGCTCTGCATTGCGTTGCATTGTTCAGCAATCGCAGTGCATTTCATTGCATGTCTTTGCTTTGCAGTGCTTTGCGTTGGCTTGCATTTCGTTGTACTGGTTTGCATTGCTTTGTTTTGCATTGCTTTGCATTTCTTGGCATTGCTTTGGATGGCGTTGCAGGGTTTTGCAATGTTTAGCACTGCGTTGCATGGGATTGCTTCGCTTTGTATTGCTTTGCATGACATTTATTTGCATTGTGTTGCGATCGCACTGCATTGCGTTGCATTGCTGTTTGTTGCTGCGCGTTGCGTTACATTGGTTTGGACGATTTGGAACTATGCAGAATGCGCCACATGGATTGCACCCCATTAACTGCACCTCCAAGATCGCGCCGCATATATTTCAAGAAACATGTTCGGGGTCAACGCTAGCTAGCATTCAAACTCGTTGCCGGAGTAGAAATGTATTTGATGCAAGCCGTGTGGTGCAACGTCCGCCAATGGAGTATATGATGCCCGCTGGGAGTTGGGGGGGGTCACTGGTAGCGCCATAGTATGTCCCGTGTGTTTCATCGAGGTGCATCGCGTTGGTCTGCATTGTGCTGCATTGCACTGAATACTATCGATTTGCAGTTCCGTGCATTGTTTTGCATTGCGTTGCCTTGCAATACTTGGACCGTGTCGCATCTATTCCCAGTCGTCTTTCCTGCGAAGCCTTGCCTCGCATTCCGCCACATCTGTTGCACTGCTTTCGTGCACTCTCAGCTCAGATGCGCGCACATCTCGATCCAACCGATACGCCCGCAAGTTACCAGCGTGGAACATATCCCTATCCCTATGCTGGGCACCTCCTCATCACGATGCCAATCTTAGGGATTCCCTTATTTTTGAGGGCGAATCACTAAGATTGTCATCGCCTTTTGGCATGTCAATCTTAGGGACAGGGATACGTTCGAGGCTGGTGAGCAAGCATCGACAGCGAACACTCGCCCACCCCTGCTGCCAATCTCTCTCACAGCACGCGCCCCGCATGTCAGGCTCGCCCTGCAGCCACGCCGCTCTGACTGAGCGAGCGGAGGAGGAGGAGGAGGAGGAGGAGGAGGAGAGGAGGGAGCGAGACCCTGCGGGCTCCGGAGGCCTACGACGCCCAAAACCTGCATCTTCGTCCTCGTCCTCCTTCTCAGGTCAGGCGATCGCAAACATGGATGACGGTGGCGTGGATTAGCGACGGGTCCCGTTTCCATGGGGAATCGCGGATTTGAGCCGCCGAACGAGGCGTCACCAGCCGCATGTTGGGGAGGGCACCTTTCTCGATCCATGGATTTGGCGACCGCGCGGCAAAAAATCCATGGATCACTATTCCATGTTTGCGCGCCCCCGATCTAGGCCTCCCAGATGGGGTCGGAGTAGACGGGGTCGGAGGATCGCACCGCATCGCCGATGCATCGACGATGCATCGGCGATGCAGTTCGATATGGGGCCCAATTTTCTCCACGCCGACGTCGCAGATGCATCGCCGACGTCGCCAGTGCATAGGCGATGCATCGCCGATGCATCGCCGATGTACCGGCGATGCGGCGAGATCCTCCGACCCCATCTATTCGAATTCCACATAGGAGGCTTCTATCCTTCTCTCCGAATCGAAAAATTGTGATTGACTTGACAGCAAGCTTGGAGTACTTCGAGTCAGTTTGGCTCAATCTTTTTGAGCTCAACAGACCCTGTCGAGCATCTCGCGCAGACCGGCACGATTGTCCGGCACCATGACGGTATCGGGAGTCCTCGGTTTATTCGTTGCGGTTCTCTTCGGCAGCGCGTCTGCATGGCCGTTCAGCGGGGCGTCCGCCACGATGCCTGGGAAGATCAGGCTGCGGGTGGATCCTCTCGGGATACACTCATTCGCGCTGTACGGCGTTCCTGACCCCAGCAGGATGGAGCACGACATATTCTGGGCCATCACGAACCCAGGCGAGATGGCGCCAGTCGAGGTGGACGCCAACAGCTCGTTCGTTTTGCGATCTACGGACATGAAGTTCCGCACCATCATATTCGTGGACATGAACCACGACCTGCGTACCAAGGCTTCGTATCCATGGAAAATATGTTTCTCCAACCCCATGGTTGATTACGGTGCGAAAATTGAGCTCAAGCACAGCACTTCGGGGTTCACTTGGATCGAGGAGGGCCAGCAGTTGTGCCAGGCGACCGACCACAGCCACGACTTCGAGTTGCACGACCGGGAAAAGGCGCCAATATTCACCATCAAGGTCAGGGATCCGAGGGGGGAGCTGTGAGAGGGAGGCTGTGGGGTGTCAGCCCGAACAGCACGCAATTAGTCCACTCTCTCGCACACGAACGAGGCTGCCATGCCGCGCTGCCTGCTTTAGCTACGGGCAGAATGACGATGATCATTTGCCCAGCTCACGTAGATCGGGTCGGGCGAAAGGGGGGGGGTGGGAAAGGGGGGGTTACGAAATCTGCTGCATGCAGCTGGTTTCGGCCCCGCCGCCGGGCCCATTCCTCGATGCATGGGCGCCTCCGGCGCCGGGAGGCGCCAGGAAAATCAGCTACGTGAGCTGATTCTCAAACCCCCCTTTTGCTATCCCCCCCTTTCGCCCGACCCGAGTAGACGTGACAACACGCGCCGAGACCACAAAAGAAAGCAGTTGCAAAGGCCGCTAATCGGTTGCCGATCGCGCTGCCGGCGCCGTGGGCCCGAGCTCCTTCGGTGCGGTCGCCCCTCCTGCCTCGAGTGGCTGGCACTCCCCTCCGATGGAGCGGAACCCTCGTGCCTCCCTCCCCCTCCCTCCCTCCTCCATGCTCACCCTCCTCCTCCTCCTCCTCCTCCTCCTCCTCCTCCTCCTCCTCCTCCTCCTGTCGCCCGGGCACTGTGGGGGGAGGGAGGAGGACTGCACCACACCGCCGATGCATCGCCGATGCGGCGCGTTGAAGTGCCCAGTGTTCTCCGCCCCGATGTCGACGGTGCATCGCCGACTTTCCCGATGCATCGCCCACGATGCATCGGCAACGCGGGGCGATCCTCCAACCCCATCTGCTCGGGACTCCATGTAGGAGGCCTCTATATACACTGCCGCGTCTTCCTCCTCTCCTTCGAACCCGACACCCAGACCCCTGACGTCATATTTGTTTCATGACGTCGTCCCTGGGACTGGTTTCTCATCCTGAGTCGTTTTCTATTGTCCTTAGGGCGGGTGGGGACCCTCCAGGCGCCGAAAATAACGATTTGAAGAGAGAGCGCCCCGCATCATCACTCCTCCCGCTGCCCCCGCCCTCCCGTCTCCCACCTTCCGCATGTCCTCATCGTAATCATCCATGAACATCATCATCAGTAGAAGCATCATCATCAGCATCATCATCGTCGTCATCATCACCATCATCATCACCATCATCATCATCACCATCATCATCAGAGGCATCGTCATCAGCAGCATCAGCATTATCATCATAACCATCATCATCAGCATCGACATCATCAGCAGCAGCATCATCAGCAGCATCATCAGCATCATCATCAGCATCTGCATCGTCATCATCGTCATCGGCATCGGCATCGTCGTCGTCATCGTAATCGTCGTCGTCGTCTTCGTCATGGCTATCATCATCAGCATTATCGTCATCGTCATCGTCATCGTCAGCAGCACCATTCGCACGTGGCTCCCCGCTCATGTCGGCCCACTGGCACAGTTCGCATGCGTCTTTGCCACCAATTTCGGCACGCCCCTGACGCGATTCGTGGCCCCATAGGGAGCTCCAGCTAAGGCCCAATGCCAGGGTCCGCATGGCGTCGCCGCCTCCTGTCGGTACACCCCTCACACGTTTCGGGGCCCCATATTGCGGCCCAGCTGAAGCCCAAATGCCAGGGGATGCATGGCGTCGGCGCTTCATTTTGGCATACCCCTCCCTCGCTTCGTGTCCCCACGGGGACCTCCAGCTCAGGCCCAAATGCCAGGGTCAGCATGGCGTCGGCGCTTTGTTTCGGCACACCCCTCGCGCGGTGGCCCCATTGGGAGCTCCAGCGAAGGCCCGAAGGCCAGGGTTCGCACGGCGTCGGCGCTTCACTTCGGCACAACCTTCACCCCCATCGTGGCCCCACAAGGAGCTCCAGCTGAGGCCCCAGTGCCCTCGTCCGCATGGCGGGGCCGCCTCGTGTCGGCACACCCTCCCACGCGGCACGACTCCATGGGCAGCTCCAACGGAGGCCCGGGCGCCAGGCTTGGCACGGCGTCGGTGCGCCATCACCTCGGCACGCCCCTTCGCACGCCTCGCTCCCCCGCAGGGAGCTCCAGCGCAGGCCCCATGTCCCGCCCGCCCGTCCCGACCCGTCCGTTAGGGCCCGCCCGCCCGACCCGACCCGACCCGCCCGACAGGGCCCGCCCGCCCGACCCGACCCGACCCGCCCGTTAGGGCCCTCGCGTGTGAATTCGATCATGCACCGCATGTTCATGTCCCGCCCGCCCGACCCGACCCGCCCGTGAGGGCCCGCCCGCCCGACCCGACCCCACCCGCCCCGCTCCGGCGCAGCCTCGCGCGCTCCGGGGCTCCATCTCGGCGGCTCCGCGTGCCGAGGCCCCGCACGGGGAGCTCGGCTCGGAGGCCCCCGCGGCGAGGTGCGCACAGCGGCCACGCCCCCTGTCGGCACGCCCGTCGCACGCCTCGCCGCCCCACAGGGAGCAGGAGGGAGAGAAACACACTGACACGATGAATCGTCGATTCCCAGGAAAATGTGGGAAAATATGGGAAGTGGGGGGGGGGAGACAGAAACTCAGAACATATGGGAAACTGTGGGGAATCTTTTTATGTGTGTATTTATTTGTGCGCCCGCACGGCGGCCCCGCCCCACGTCGCCGCGCCCTCCGTGGGGCCCTGGGACACACAAAGAAATACATACAAATAAAAAGATTCCCCATATTTTCCCATATTTTCTGGGTTTCTGTCTGCCCCCCCACTTCCCATATTTTCCCATATTTTCTTGGGAATCGACGATTAATTGTGTCTGTGTGTTTTTTCCCTCCTGAACACCCTTCGTGGGGCCCCAGAAGGAGATCCACCAGGGGCGATACTCACAATGGCGGCACGCACAGGCTGCATATGGCGGGGTCCGTCGCCAGGATGACGCAAAACCCGAGGGGGTCTGGGCCTGAGTTGTTCTTAAAAGCGCTGAGGGGGCGGTTTTTGTCCCGTTTTCCACTTTTGGGGCTGCGACCAACAAAAACGGAAATAAAACGGTAGCCCAAAACAAATTGAAAACGTCGTGCTCGAGCTAAAAACGATAAGAAAACGGAGTGCCAACACGGCGGGCGAAATTGCCCAAACGTGACCAGCGTTTGCGGGGAATCTGAAAACGCATTGAAAAGGCACCAAAAACAAGTAAAAAAACGGCGCGGCAAGGCGCACCCCGATCCCAGGTCCGAAAACGGAAAGAAAATGGTCATTGAAAAGAAATCAAAACCGGAGCTCAAAACTGACAGAAAACGGTGGCACACATCTGCAAAACGAAAAGAAAACGACAACAAAAACGGAAGAAAACGTCGATCTTGAAAACGAAGAAAAAAGCCCTCAGCGTTCTTAACAACATCTAAGGTCTGGGCACCTCTCCCCGACTCCTCGTCGAACCCTCCCTCCCCATCCTCCTCCCCGAGCACCTTTGAACCCCCCTGCGCCGCCTCCTCGAAGCCCCCCTCGAACCTCATCCGGTGTTTCACCTATCGCTCCCACGGGCAGGCCCAAGAGCCTCGGGCCCCTCCACATTGTCGCGCAGGGAGGCCAAGAGAGCCATTCGGTTTCCAGTCGTTCGGATCGACTCCCCAACCGCCTTTACGCTCATCGTTAATTTTACCTCGAGCCCTCGTCCTTCGGGCGCGAGGCCATCTTGCCCTTCTACTTCCAGGCCGTGGGCGTCGCTGGGACGGGGGCCACCTCCGTGCTCCGGGTACTGCGACTCGTGCGGGCGCGCCGCGCGGGGGGCCGGCCCGCGCGCGCGCTCCCGACGGCATCGTCGGACCGACTGCCATGCCCACCCCCATCAGACATCTCAAGGGACAGCATATTTGCGGGACGGGGAAATGACCACAGCCACTGCTTCTTGTTTGCGCCGCCTTCCAGCCGGCCGAAAAAGAAGCAGTGGTTGTGGTCATTTCCCTGGTACCAAGCTCAACAAAAATGACCACAGCCACTGCTTTGTTGCTGCGGGCTGGAAGGCGGCAGCAAAATCAGTGGTTGTGGTCGTTTTCACGCCCCGTAATACTCAGGGCTCGCGATCCCAGTGCCATTCCAGGGTATGCGCGGGCGATTTTGGCTCGACGTGTCCGCCCGTTGTGCGGGCGCGTGTGTTTGGTAGGTGCCCCGCAGGTGCTGGTGTTTTTGATATGGGCGTTCTGAGCTAGTGGCGTGTGCACGTGTGCGGGGGCATGTGCTCTGAGTTGTTCCACCATTGTTCTGGTTCGGCCCCCGCCCTTGAGCGTTGTCTGCAACTCTACGCGCATGTGCGTGGCGTGCGCGGAAACTGTTTGTGCAGTACTTATGAGCGGCGTTGCATACATCGGGCGATTCAGTCGGTGTCCACACCGCAACTGGTTGCCCCAGCGTTGCCCGCGCATGCCCACACATGGCGCCGCACATGCCCGCAAATGGCACTGCTCGTGGCTACACAGGGCCGCGCGCGGCCGCTCATGCTCGCACAGCTCCGCACAGCAGGCAACCTATGCCCTCCTTACCCCCGCCCAGCACCTACGTACATGGCTGCACACCCCGCAGCGGACGACCGCACATGTCCGCACACGACGCCGCTCGTGGCGGCCAGTTTGTGCACGGCTACGTGCGGCCGCACATGCTTGCACAGCACCGCACGGGAGAGGAGGAGGAGGAGGAGGAGGAGGAGGAGGAGGAGGAGGAGGAGCAGGAGGAGCAGGAAGAGCAGGAAGAGCAGGAGGAGGGGGAGGGCGGCGTCCGACGGAGTCTTGCGCCTTCAGCTCGTCAGTTCGTCAGGAGGAGGAGGAGGAGGAGGAGGAGGAGGAGGAGGAGGAGGCATGCTCGTTTCAGGAGGTGGCGCTTCCTGCCCTGTGGGCAATTTCAGCCGCCTGGCGGAAACCCTACAACATCTTCCCTTTCCTCCCAGGGCCCCCGTCCCTCCCCAAGGGCGCCCTCGAGGGCGCGAAGCTATTCGCGCTTCGCGGCTCGGCTCCGATTTCTCCTCGTCCTCCTCTTCTCCCCTGGGAAACGGCCCGAGAGCGCGAGGTGATTCGCGCTTCGCGCTTCGCGCAGCGCGAGGCGCGAAGCTGGGAGCCCTTGCTTTCCTTCCAGGGCCCCCGTCCCTCCCAGCCTTTCCGTTCCTCCGTTCCTCCGGGTCCTTGGCCTCTCCTCCTCCTCCTCCTCCTCCTCCTCCCCGCCCCTCCCTCCTCTCCTCCTCCTCCTCCTCCTCCTCCTCCCTCCTCTCCTCTCCTCCTCCTCCTCCTCCTCCCCCTCCTCCTCCTCCTCCTCCTCCTCCTCCTCCTCCTCCCCGCCCCTCCCCCCCGCCCGGGTCCGAGCGCTCCCTGGCGGCGGTGGCGGCAGCATTCCACCTTTCTCGCTCTCGTGGTATTGATATTTTTCGGGGGCGGCAGAGAGGGGGGCGATGGATGACTACGGGGGGGGGGGGGGATATCACGGCGGGGGCCATGATATTTCCCCAGATTTCCTGGCGCCTCCTCTTATTTCATTACGTCCCTGCCCCCCCCCCCCCCCTGGGCCGCGCACATGCCGCCAGCCATGAATTGCGCCCCCCCTCTTGGACACCCCCCTCTTGGCCGCCCCCGGTATTGACATCGGAGGTGTGTCCGGGTTGCCTGGGAGGGAGCTCCTGCAAGTTTTGTTTCTGCGGAAGCATGGCGTGTGCGGCCATGCGCAGGCATGGCGGGTTTTTTTGAGCCAGTGACCCCGTGGGCATGGATCATGGAGACGCATAGAATGCGCGGGCATGTGCGGGTAGGCGGTGCCTTCAACGCTACCCCGCGCAGAGGCGCACAGTTGGGCATGCACGAAATGTGCGGCATGCGCACGGAGAAGACGTTGCAAAAGACACACAGTGAACGCTGAAGTAATGAACCTTACAAGAATGCGCCTAGTGTGAACTCTGATGGGCTCCAGGTTCCGCTCCAGGAAAGCGAGAATCTGGGCTGCACCCGGGGCATTTCCTTGGAGTTTCCTTTGGCGCGTCTCGCGCGCCAGCGATTGGGGTCCGCACAGCTCCAAGAGGTCCGCGCGGTGGAGCCCCTTATGGGGCCACGACGCGCAGCACTGGGCGGGGGAGACGCATGCGGACTGCGCCGCGGGGACCTTCGGCGGAGCCCCTGTGGGGCCACGAGATGCTGTGCTGGGTGGGAGGGACGCGTGCTGACTGCGCCACGGGGACCTTCGCTGGGGCTCCATATGGGGGGGCCACGACACGCTCGTCTGCTCCGCCCGTCCGCGTCCGCTGCGGCACGCCTGAGCCCCGTCGGCCCGTGCCCGGGCCTGCATCACCGCTTCGCCGGGCCTCGGGCCCCGGGGCCGGCACGGGCCGACGGGGCCTCGAGACACGCCACGGAGAGGCGAGGTTCAGCGCGGTGCTCGTCGTCGTTCGCGGTGTCGCATTTTTGTTCGTGACGCCGGATCTCGGAGGAGGAGGAGCAGCAGCAAGGGAAGGGAGGACGAGGAGGGAGAGGCGACGGATGAGGGCACGCTGGGCCGGGGCATCAACCCGCGGGCCGTTTCCCGAGGAGACGGCAGCGGGTCTTGACCGTTTCCCATGTTGCCCATGTCTGCCAGTCTTCCCTGCTCTGTGTTGCACAGCGTCCGTGGTCTGGCTCGAGTTGTCAATGTTTGATGTGTGGTCAAGTGCTCAAGTCGGCAGAGGCAGGAGCAGTAAACAGAGGGGCTGGGAAGCGGAGGTATTCAGAGTGATGCGGATGCCGCAGTTGAGCTCCTGCGTCTCCATGTTTGGCCAGATCATCGTGGGGAGGGAGGGGATCAGGCTTTTGTGCTGGTGTCGGATGCCCAGAGGCTGGCGCCACAACGGGTATCGATGGTGGCCTCCACGGGTCGGAGATGATCCTGACCTCGGTGATGGCGGGAACTGTCGGGCCTCCTCGGTGGCCGAGGCGTTGCCGCCGACACCAGACCGCCCACGCCAGCACTCGGGAGCACCACCTCTCCCTGGCGGAGGCACCCCTCCGTGCTGTGCTGTGCCCGTGCCCCTGCTCGAGCCTCCGTGGGCCCCCGCGCCCCGCGACGTCGGCAAAGACGTGGGCCCTCCGCGCGTCGCGCCCCCTCGGCTCGGGCCCGCCGCGCTCCGGAGCGCGGCGCCACGCCCTCCGCGGCCCCGGTGCCCGAGCGCCGCTGCCCGGAGCCTTCCCGAGGGCCTCCCGCGCCGCAGGAGCGGAGCGGCCGCGCCGTCCGCTCGCGCGGCGAGGCCCGGCGTGTCACCGGCGCCGCCGCCGCGCCGTGCAGCGCGGGGGTGTTCCCGGCCGCTGCAGAGTTCAGGAGGGAAAAAAACACACAGACACAATTAATCGGCGATCCCCAGGAAAATATGGGAAAATATGGGAAGTGGTGGGGAAGACAAAAACCCAGAAAATATAGGAAAATATGGGGAATCTTTTTATTTGTGTGTATTTATTTGTGTGTCCCAGTTTCCCTTCAAGAGTGGTGCCTCCGCCCGCCGTGCCCGGGCGAGCCCTGGGGCTCAGCGCGCGGCCCTCTCTCTCTCTCTCTCTCTCTCTCTCTCTCTCTCTCTCTCTTTGCCAGCCTCGAGCGTATCCCTATCCCCAAGATTGGCACGCCAAGAGGCGATGACAGTCTTAGGAATTCGCCCTCAAGAAATAAGGGAATCCCCAAGATTGGCATCGTGATGAGGAGGTGCCCAGCGTAGGGGTAGGGATATGTTCCAGGCTGGCAATGTCAGGGGAGGAGAGGGTACCCGTACCGCTGCCCTTCTCTCGTTTTCCCCGCTTGGGGCCTCCCTGGAGGCCCTCGTCGCCACCGCTGGATTTGCCTCGAGATGTTAGTTGGAAGCACCCCGGGAGAGTGGTCTGGGGGAGTAGCGGTATCGGTATACGCGTTGGCTTCCCTTATTGAGACTTCCAGGGTGGGGTCGGAGTAGACGGGATCGAAGAATTCCGCCATATCGCCGATGCATCGGCGGCTCGGTGCGGAGCCCGATTGCCTCTACGCCGACGTCGCCGATGCATCGGCGATGCGGCGCGAGCCTCCGACCCCGTCTGGGAGGCCTGCAGTCTAAGGCCAGGGCCCTCCGGGGGCCCTTCTGCCGTGTCTTGCGTGACAGGGGTCAGCGCTCACGGGAGTCAGCCAATGCAAACGGGGGTCAGTCAGGGCACCAGATCCTGCAGGATCCTGCGAAGACCCCCTCTGGCTGACCCGGGTCAGCGAGCCGCGCGTGGCCGCGAGGCGGCCGCGCATATTGGCCGACCGGGGCTTGCGAAGACCTGCACTTGCAGTTTTTGTTCCTGCACTGCCGTTTTTTGGTTTCCCGCTGACCCAGGTCTGGATGGACCCGGGTCAGAAGAACCCCGACTCCCCGTCCCCCTTTGTGGTATGTTTCCTTGGTTCGTCTATTGGGGAAACTAGGGGGCCACAGGCGAACCCTACCCCTATCCCCCCACGATTTCCGAGGGGAGGGTGGGGTTCACTTCGCCGACCAGGGGTTTGGGGAGCCCCGTGGGGCCGAGTCCCCACGGCCGCCCTCCGCCGGCCCAGGGCCTGGGAGCTGTCAGCTCTCGGCGGCCGCCCGGGGCTCCGCGATGGGGTCCTGGCCAACCTGGGTGGTGTGCTGACCCGGGCCAGTGCGCCCTCGGTTGCGTGATCCAGGAGGGGGAGGAGGAGGAGGAGGAGGAGGAGGAGGAGGAGGAGGAGGAGGAGGAGGAGGAGGAGGAGGAGGAGGAGGAGGAGGAGGAGGCGGAGGAGGAGGAGGAGGCGGAGGAGGCGGAGGAGGCGGAGGCGGAGGAGGAGGAGGGAGGAGGAGGAGGAGGAGGAGGGGGAGGGAGGCGGAAGAGGAGGAGGAGGAGGAGGAGGAGGAGGAGAAGGAGGAGGAGGAGGAGAAGGAGGCAGAGGCGGAGGAGGAGAGAGAGGAGGAGAAGGAGGAGGAGGAGAAGAAGGAGGAGAAGGAGGAGCAGGAGGAGCAGGAGGACCTCCAACCCTCCCTCGTCTATGCCGCAAACCTCCCTCCGTCACCCTGCCGTGTGGTCGCTCCCGCCGCTCTGCATCTAGGCATCTAGGCCTCCCAGACGGGGTCCAAGCAGGTGGGGTTGGAGGATCGCGCCGCATCGCTGATGCATCGCCGATGCGGCTCGATGTGGAGCCCGACTTTCTCTACGCCGACGGCGCCGAGGCATCCCCGACGTCGCCGATGCATCGGTGATGCGGCGCGATCATCCGACCCCATCTACTCGTACCCCACCCAGGAGGCCTCTATTGCAGTCCATCAGGAGCTCGAGTGTGCAGAAGACGTGCACAGGTGCGGAAAGACGCACCGAAACCGCGCGCGCTGTGGCTCCGATGCCCAGCAGCAGTTCCCTTGGAGCCCAGGCTGCAGACCACTTGGTGCCGGACGTGCAGCAAGCACGCGGTACAGTGGCGACCCATGTCAAGAAACACCCCACTTGCCTCCAGGGTGCGCGTTGTTTCCTGGGTTCCGAGGGTTTTGCGGTAAAAGGCGTGATTCCCCCACGCCAGACATCAGTGAACGTCCTGAGGTCTCGGGGTTGGGTTTCTTGTGGAAGGTTTCTTGTGGTCGAGCTCGTGCTGTAGCGGTCTCGGGCGTGGAGGCCATCGTTCGGGAGGGGGAAAACACACAGACACAATGAACCGTCGATCCCCAGGAACATGTGGGAAAATGTGGGAGGTGGGGGGAAGGCAAAAGCCCCGAAAGTATGGAAAAATATGGGGGATCCTTTTATTTGTGTGTGGATTTATTTGTGTCTCTCAGGGCCCCAGTCAACCGTTCCCCCCGCGAGCTCTGGGCGGCGCTCTGCGCCCCTTCTCTCCCTGGTGGGCGTCGGAAGGGGGCACTCCGAGGCCGGCCCCTCGCCGGAGTGGCCTCTGAGGCGGGGCGGCCGGCGCCTTCCCCCGGCGCGGGCCGCCACGGCGCTTGGATTTTCAGGGGGGAGAAGGACACACACAGACACAAGTGATCGTCGATCTCCCAGAAAATATGGGAACACATGGGAAGTGGGGGGGGGAGACAAAAGCCCAGAAGATATGGAAAAATGTTGGGAATCCTTTTATGTGTGTGTATTTATTTGTGTGTCCCTGGGCCCCTTCAGATTTGGCGTCCCCGCGGCACCGAAGAGCGCGCACCGAAGAGCACTCCAGCCCCGGGTCACCCCTTTCAAGCAGTGGCGAAGCGTGCTGGCTCGCCTATAACCCTACCGAACAATGATCTAAGAACCTCTTGTGGTGTCCACGAAATGTTCTTAGAACATGTCTGGTGGAGTCTGTCTTGTTTGAACACATCGGGTTGATGTTCTAAGAACATTGTTTTTGTTTTTCGTTCTAAGAACATTTCGTGGTAGGACTATAGGAATGCCGGGACGGTCGGTCCCTGCTCAACCCTTTGCGCATGGCCGAAGATCAGGGGAGGCGCTAGTCGAAGAAGAACAGACCACGTAAACTTAAATGTTTGGCGCTCCCCGCGGATTTCTTGGATCCGCGCCTGGGCCCCCCAGCGGCGCCTCTGGCGCCGCCCCTGGCGCTCTCCGCGCGCCAGGAAGGGGGGTCCAGCGCGAATCCGAGAAATCCGCGCGGAGCGCCAAAAGTTTATCTTTATGTGTTTGTTTCTTTTCTAGCTGGGAGGATTAAACTACTCCTTCCATTCTGCGAAGGCCAAAAAGCCAGGCTCTAGGTCGGGGGTGGACAGGACCCCCACCCTGACACGTCGATTGGTGAATTGTCCTGTCGGTTCTCGGGAGGGCACCGCGGCCGTCATTTTCCAGGCTTGCGTTCGCCAGGTTTGGGTCCGAGGTCGGTTTCACTAAACCGCGTTGTGCTAAAGGGGGCTCTGTCCATCCCCGACGAGGCTGACGCAGGCAGTTCAACTGTCTGCGCTCATCGCCCTGGGCCCGCTTGACATCTTCTGGCGACCTGGGTGTTGCACACAGTGAAACGGACTTGGTATCGCTCGGACGTGTGCACTCTTTCTCGGCGGGGATTCTTACGGAGCATCCTGGATCATCCTGCGAAAAAGCCACGCACGAAATTGAAAAAAGCACAGGGAGTGGACGTCCGAGCGATGGCGAGAACGGAGGCGTCGTTCGTGACGGCGTCGGCCTGCCCCGCTGTGACAGGGGGCAGCCGCATAGGCCCCCCAACCACCCAAGGGGGGCCAGGCCACCCCGCCCAGGGACGTGCTGTTCTGCCATCGGGGGCGCAACGCCGATCCCTTCGGCGAGGTGTCGACGATTCAAGCCTGATGTTCCCCCCCTCTCCTGGGCCGGCTCCCCTCCACAGTTCCCGCTCAGAAAAGGTCGATTAGACGTCAGAGTGGCTTTTCGCCGGAGTGGCCTCTGGTGCGGGCACAGATGGGTGCCCAGACGGCGAAAAACGAGGCAGCAGCAGCTGCCTGCGCGCCCAGGTGTGGTCCCCCCGCGGCCCCCCAAAGGTCGCGCACCGAAGGCAACTCTTACCCAAATAGGGTCACTCCTGCGTGTCGCCGAAAAATGGGGGAGGGGAGCGCGGCAGGGGGAGGCACAGGGAGGAGAAGGAGGAGGAGGAGGAGGAGGAGGAGGAGCAGGAGGAGAAAGGAGGAGTACAGCGACGGGAGAAGGAGGAGGCGGAGGAGGAGAAGGAAGCGGAAGAGGAGAGGAGGAGGAGGAGGAGGCGGAGTGGGAAGAGGAGGGGAAGAGGGGAGGAAGAGGGGGAAGGGGGGGGGGGGAGCGCGGCAGGGGGAGGCGGGGCGGGGCTCGGCAGCGCAGAGCGGGGGGCGGAGCGCATTCGGCCCCTCGCGGAGCGCAGTCCTCGCCCCCCGAGGCCTCGTCCTGCCGCCCCCTCCGGCGGCAAGACGAGGCCGGGCCTCCGAGCCATCAGGTCGCGAGGAAGCAGGTGGGCCCTGAGCTCCTCCTCCTCCTCCTCCTCCTCCTCCTCCCCCTCCTCCTCCTCCTCCTCCTCCTCCTCCTCCTCCTCCTCCTCCTCCTCCTCCTCCTCTTTCGCTCCGTGGTGCTTTGGGGGCTCCGGGGGCCTTCCCCGAGCCCCACGGGACCGTCAGAGAACCATGCGGGACGAAGAGGTCGTCCTAGGGGCGTTGGCTTCAGATTGTCGATCGGATTCGCTCCAGTCCGGGGGTGCGCCAGAGGGGGGTGAGGGCACCTCGATCTGCTATTCACCATCTGGGCTCGAGCCATGGGTTGGAAGCATCTGGTGACTATGGACCAGCCTCAGGATGAACGATAGGTGGATCAGGGGAGAAAGTATGGGAATGCACTGTGGAGAGGATAGCGGAGCTAAGGAACGAGCACGCGCTCTCTGCTTGGGGAGGCCGATTCGCTACCCGCTTTGTTCCTGCTGAACTTCATGACAGCTGCAGCTGCTTGCTAGCCACTTCTCTGACTCCTTCCTCTCTCAGGCAGAGGAGAATGAGGCTCCCCCACCCTCGTCTCGGGTCGGGCGAAAGGGGGGGATTGGGAAAGGGGGGGGTTACGAAATCTGCTGCATGCAGCTGGTTTCGGCCTCACCGAGGGGCCCATTCCTCGATGCATGGGCGCCTCCCGGCGCCGGGAGGCGCCGGGAAAATCAGCTACGCGAGCTGATTCTCAATCCCCCCCTTTGCTATCCCCCCCTTTCGCCCGACCCGATCGTCCTTCCCACCAGCGCTGCCTCGAGAGCGCAGCAGATGTCTCGAGGCCTGTGTTGCATGGGTCAAGGCAACGATATCCCCTATCGACGCGTTGGCACTCCATCACGGGGCCTGGTGAGGAGGGCGAGGAGCAAAAGAGGTAAGGAGGGGAGGATCGAAGACAATGTCGTACGGTAGGTTCGCGTCGTGTCGACTGGCGGCGACCCCGCCGAGGGCGTTCAAGGTTGCACGCCGCCAGTGGCCCAGAATCGGCTTATATGGAACGATCGGGCGGTCGAAAAGCCGCCGATCGTTCAAGGTTGAACGATTCACGCAGTGTCAGAAACCAACGCCGGGGTCGTCACGACACGAACCTGCCGTATCACTCTGAGGGCACGCGTGCGGTCAATCCCCAATCAGGCGTTGCCTAGGGCTTCTGATTTGTTTGTGGCGAAATCAATGGGTGCCAGGCGCGGTTGTCCACGGATTCCCCGGGATTCGTTGGTGATGTTTCCTCACAGGGAGTTAAACAGAAACTAGACGGGTATGCCCGGCTTCAGTCTCGCGGACCTATTCTAAAATCATATGTTCAAAAATCCTTATGTTGTTTCATGCCCTGCCGTCATCGCGCGAGTGATAGTCGAAAACCTATTTTTAAAAATGGTCACGGCTATCTTCACTCACCTCCTCTTCCTCCCCCTCTCCTTTCTCCTCCTTCCCCTCCTCCTCCTCCCCCTGGCGGAGGTTGCAAAGCGATAAATTTGGAGAAATGTTTGGGGGAAGATCTACAAAGAGTCTCCGCCAGATCTATCCTCCAGATCTTCCGCCTGACATTCCTCCAGATCTTCCGCCAGATCTTCCTCAAGATTTTCCGCCAGATCTTCTGGCAGATCTTCCGCTAGATTTTCCGCGGGATCTTTCGCCAGATGTTCCACCGTATTTTCCTCCAGATATTCCGCCAAATCTTTCTCGAGATCTTACGCGAGATCTTCCGCCAGATCTTCCGCGAAAGTTTCCTCCAGAGTTATATTCCACATCTTCCGCCAGATCTTCCGCTAGTTTCATCCTCCAGATCTTCCGCCAGATCTTCCGAAAGATCTTCCGCCAGATCGGCCGCCAGATCTTCCGGCAGATCTTCTGCTAGATGTTCCGCCAGATCTTCCGAAAGATCTTCTTCCAAATCCTCCGCGAGATCTTCCGCCAGATCTTCCGCTATATCTTCCTCCAGATTGGTATTATATATGTTCTTCGAGATATTCCGCCAGATCTTCCGCCGGATCTTCCGCCAGATCTTCCTCAAGATCTTCCGCCAGATCTTCCGACAGATCCTCCGCCAGATGTATCCTCCAGATTTTCCGTGGGATCTTCCGCCAGATGTTCCGCTAGATTTTCCGTCAGATTTTTCGCAAGATCTTCCGCCAGATCTTCCGCCAGATGTTCCTCCCTCAGATATTTCCGCAACTATTCCCGAAACATTCCTCCAGATTTATCGCTTTGCAACCGCATCAAGTCTTCCTTCGGACACTCCCCAGATCTCTCGACAGATGTTTCCCAGATCTTCCTCCTGCTGTTCTAGGGTGTTTCTATGTTTGTTTCATGCCGCGTCGCGGGTCCGCATCTTGTTTTTTAAATTCCTAGTTTTGCTGTCTGCCTTGCTTCGGGGCTGCAATCTCTACGGGACAACCTAGAATGTTTAACTCCTTTGTTTAAAAATTCTGTGTGTTTAACCTCCCTCTACAGTGGCGTTTTTCAGAGTTGTTCGGCGTTGTTTCTTTAACAGTGATGTCCCTCGGCCACGCAATGCCAAGAAATGCCAAGCAACGCCAAACGACGGCAAGCAAGGCCAAGCAATGCCAAGCGATGCCCAGCAATGCCAAACAATGCCAAGCAATGCCAAGCAACGTCAAGCAATGCCAAGGAATGCAAAGCAACGCTAAGAAACGCCCCACAATGACCAGCCATACCAAGCAATACCCAGCAATGTCAAGCAACGCCATGCGATGCCAAGCAGTGCGCAGCAATGCCCAGTAATACCAAGCAATGGCAAGCACACCAAAAAATGCCAAGTAATGCCAAGCACCGCCAAGCAATGCAAATCACTGCAATGCCAAGAAAAGCAATGCAATGCCAAGCAATTCCAAACAATGCTGATGTGGAAGCGTTCCCCCTATTGGAGTCGCCCTGGATTCATGTTGATGCCGATGAAAGTCCGCCGATCTGGCGCGTGAGTTCTACAAAGCTACAGCCTGAGCTTCGGCTCTGCTGAGGGGGATGCTGGGGTGTGGCCCTGCCAGAGGAAGGGGGAGGAGGGGGAGGGAGCACTGTAATTCCTTCCGGGACCAGGTCGGAAATTGGAACATATACATATATATATAAATATAGATATATATATATATACATATTATCAGTGGCGGGCTGTTTTTCAATCCCGGGACAACTTGAGGCTCGAGGACCAACGCTGGGGTGGTAAGGTGTATACTTTTTGTCCCCGATGCCCCGGGGAAAACGGAAAATGTGTACACCAGGGTCCCGAAGACACCAGTACACCAGGGATCCGCTCTCCAGTGCAAAGTACACTGCAGGACCGGAATAAGCGTCGATGTATATCGGGGGCGGAAAAGAGGGGGGGGATGACTAGGGGGGGGTGGATATCGTGGCGTGGGCCATGATATTTCCCCAGATTTCATGACGCCTCTTCTTATTTCATTACGTCCCTGGCCCCCCCGCTGGGCCGCGCACATGCCGCCGGTCATGATTTGCACCCCCCCCTCTTGGACACCCCCCTCTTGGCCGCTCCCGAGTTTTGAGTTCGATTCCCTACCAGGGGCCAGGACTGGGGCCGAGGGGCCGGGGCCGCGGCCGGGGCTGGGACCAGGCCAGGGCCGGGCTGCAGGGCGCCAGGGCCAGGGCGTCGGGGCCCGGCGCGAAGGCGAGAGCCACATCTTGAAAAAGGGCTTGGCCTCTATTTGGTGGTCTCCAAACCAGGTGGTGAGACACCCGGTGGTGACCCCGATTCCCCAAAGAAATAATTCTGGGTCACCACCGGGCTTGGGGACACGCGGTCGCCACGAGTTTTTGCGTTTCCTGGGCCAGCCAGCGCTCGAAAACCATTACCCAAATCGCCCAAAACTCACCACCAGGTGTTCTCACCACCACGTTTGGGGACCACCAATCCATTCTTGAAAATATTTTCCGAGCATTTTTCCTTTGGGTTGGAGGGCAAAGGGTGAAATCTGCAATACCAGTTCGATGGATGTTCGAGGTTCGAATCTGCAAAGGGTGAATCCCAAGACGGGGCGATTTTCGAGGTGCAAAATGCCAGGATTATGGATTTCACCCCGAGCCCTCCACCCTGAGAACATATTCAGGTTTTGCAGACTTCCATTGTCAGGATCGTAGATGGCGAGGAAGTCTCAGGCGATACGCTGGGCCCGGCCCGCCCTACAACGGCACGTCTGGGGGTGCGACAGAAACGGGTCATGTATAAGGGAAAGGGACGGAGGGGTAGGGATGATGAGGAAGGGGAGGAGGGATGATGAGGAGAGGGTGTGGAGAGAAGGGAGGAGGAGGAGAAGGAGGAGGAGGAGGAGGAGGAGGAGGAGGAGGGGCATTCACGGTGCACCGATGTCCATGCATTGGAATTTGCAGCCCTCGCTTCGCCATCCAATCATGTGTTATTGATACCGTAACTATGGCCCCTACTTAGTCACATGTGCGTTTATATTCGTCTCCCCTCACCTCCGTTGCATCATGCGCAGGACATTACTCGCTTGTGTGCTGACCTCGTCGTGCATCGTCTTCGCGGAAGGTCGCCCCTACTTAGGGCCATGTGTTCTCTGTGCAGAGTTGCCGCAGCTCAAATTGTGTTCGTTCTTCATAGTCAGAGTTCGCCGCCCCACCACTAATGTGGGCGCGCTACCAAACTCGTACCAGTATAGGAAGGAGCGCAGAACGGGAAATCTGGAGAGTGTTTGGTGTCATTTGGCATGTCTTGGTAGCGAGGTCGAGGGTCGATCGTTCTTTCAACAAAATCTCGTTGTTGCCAGGCGGAGCGAGAGGAGGAGTAGGAAGAGAAGGCCAGAACACCACCATGGACTCTACACCGATCTCGTAAGGAAAGCCTTTCCCCCGGGGGCGACGAGGAGGAGGAGGAGGAGGAGGAGGACGGGGGCGGCAAAGGACAAGTACCCGGCGAGAGCCCCTCTGTTTCCGCGCTTGCCAGCATGACTTTGTCTCCGCCCCGCCATTCCTCGAAAGCATACAAGTGGACGTTACCACCAAGATCGGGAGCCACCTCGATCGAGGGAAGATGGCCGCCGAGTTCATTTGCAGGGGTCGACCTAAACGGTGTGTTGGCGATTCCGTGGGCCGGTTTCGTTTCGATTTCGTTTTGAATTAAGGGCGGATCGGAGACGGAGCGAAAACGAAAACAAAACGAAAACGAAAAACATTGTTTTGATCGAGCCCTGTTCACTTGCGCTGACACGTGGAAGTGTAGAATACGCATACGGCGAGTCACCGCCACCCCTTGCCGTTTAAAATTGCCTGTCTAGCGACGTTGCGGCCATGCTACCAGCGTGACCAGAAACAAAACCCAGGACAGCCCCCTAGGGGGCTGCCAGGGCTGTCTTGGGTCTTGTGTTTGGCCTTGAGGCCCTTCTTGGGGACGATCCTTGGGCCGTCTTGGGCTCTCTGAGGACGTCTTGGGGGCCTCTCTGCGTCGTCTTGGGGCCACTCAGGGACGCCTTGGGACGCTCTTGGGCCGTTTAGGGGCCACCTTGGGCCATCGAATGGTCAGCTTCGAGTGCATGTGGGCCGTGGTGAGCTGGTCTGGAGAGCCTCGTATGATATCCCGGGCGCCCAAAGACCGAAAAGGTGTGAAACCGGCAAACATGAAGGCCCATTGTTATATTGCGTCGTATACGACGGTTTCGTGGGCTGACCTCGAGGGCCCCCAAGACGGCCAAAGAGATCCCCAAGATGAGTTCTTCGGAGCTTCTTGAGGCTGTTGTGGTTGTCTGAGAAGCGTCTTGGAGGCAGTCTTGGACTGTCTTAGGCAATGTTAGGCCGCCTCGGAGTCCATTTGTGCAACCTTGGACGTTAGGGAGCGAGCTCGGTGCACTGTTGCGAGCGTGCTGAGCCGTTGTGCGGTGGCGGCGGGGCTGCCCGGGAGAGCCAGGGGGAGTTGCTTGAGCTGTTTCGGGGGCGGCAGAGAGGGGGGTGATGACTGGGGGGGGGGGGATCTCATGGCGTGGGCCACGATATTTCCCCAGATCTCAGAGCGCCTCCTCTTATTTCATCACGTCCCTGGCCCCCCCGCTGGGCCGCGACGCCGGTCCTGATTTGCACCCCCGCCTCTTGGACACCCCCCTCTTGGCCGCTCCCGACTGTTGGGCGGGGCCAAAGTGTGCTTCCAAATCGGGCCCGCCAGGCACCCCTTCGGCAGGCTACGAGGGCGGCGGATCCAGTGGCCCTCGGCCCATCCCGTGCCTGAGTCGTGGACGACAGGCCCCTTTGGAGCATCTTGGGGTCTCGTAGGAGGCCTCTTAAAAAAAGTCAGTTTGGCGTCTCTTGAGGACCCTTGGCTCCGGGAGGCACCTTGAGGCTTAACGGGCCCTGGAAACGACAGGGCCGTTTTTTTACCGGTTCCGTTTTGCCGTTTGTTTGCCAGTTCCGACGCCGGTCTTTTACCGGCTCCGTCGCCGTTCTTTTACGGGTTCCCGCTCCGGTTCCAATCTTGGAGCCGTTTTTGTTGCCGTTTCCGGTCGCCGTTTTTGTTGCCGTTTCCACTTTCAAGGGACATGTTTTCGAAAACGGTGGAAAAACGGCCCTGCCGTTTCCGAGGCCCGCTAAGCCTTGGGGCTTGTCCCATATTGCTTGGTCTTGGTACTCCCGCTGGTTGTTGCCTCCCAGACTTGCTCCACCCAGACCTGGCCTCACCCGGTCAAGAGCACGCGATTCCAGCAAATCGCTTCATCGGAGGTGTTGGTGGGACGTGGTTGGGTCTTGCGAGCAGGAACAGGAGAAGCAGCAGTAGTATGGAAACATAGAGAGGGGTCATTGCAGCCAGGGTATATCTCAACCCGCAGGCGAGAGGCTTGGCGAACTGTGAGGATAGAGAGGCGGACTGATGACTGAGAGCTATAGCTGCACGTCTGGGAGGTCAGCCTCGCCTCCGAGGATGCGGAAAGGGTGCAGGAGAATGAAGGTAAGCCGGTCCTCACTGCACTGCGTCAGTCCCCGGGCCGTATAGATAAGATTCATCCGTTGGGTGATTGGTGTTCAAGTGTCAATCAGTTGATCGCGCAGTGCAATTGTACAAGCTCACCGCAAGTATAGTTTGCCACTGTGTCATTGCATGTGTTCCAGAAGCCCAGTGTCAACTGCACCTGGTTCATTTCTAACTCTTCGAAAATTCCTTGATGTTCTGGGGGCCAAGATCCTTTCATTTCTAATTGTTCTATCCTGGGCCTCTTGCTGGCCCTTAGTGGGCCAGGAACAATTAGAAACGAGCACAATTAGAAATGAGCGCGATGAAAAATGAACGACGTGTAAATGTGTGGCTGATGTTGTCCAGGTGGACAGGTTTGGGCTTCGATTGCAGATAATCCCGCTCGCGCTGTCCAGGTCAGTACTATTCTGTCGACAGGGACAAGCTTGACCCCATATTTGGAGTAGGTCACAACCGGGAGCAGCAGCCGCACGCTTCGTTTGTTGGACTGGCTGGCGATCCTCGGTCTCCCTCCATCGTGCGGGCGCACGACATGCGTATTTCGTGTAGTGTCCCTGCTCGCCTCGTGCTCGCACGTGAATGCAAATGTCTTGCGCGTTGTCCTTGCGATCACAGCTGCGCATCGCTGCCCGGTCTGCACGTTCGATTCGTTGTCCGGCGTTTTTCCTCCTCCATCTCGTGATTTCTTTCTCCGTCCATCACGAGAACCGATGGCTTGTATTGCCAGTATTGGCTGTTGGTTCGCGATTCGAAAGAAAGCACGAGCAATGTTGTCAGGGATGTCGGTCCCCGCTGCCAGAAAAAGTGAAGACCGAGGGCTTCAGCGCCAGTGGGATGGGTTCCCGGTCATGGGTACTTCGGCAGCCCGCAAGAACGTGGTAGGAAAGCGCCACTCTCGCGCGGGATGGCGCAAGAAAGTTGCATGAAAGCCACTTTCTTGCATCGATCCGTGGGGTGTCGGAGGTGGGGGGGGGGAGATCGCAGTGGAACGGAGAGCCCCCCACCAGGAGATCGGTTCCGGTTGCGTCTTCGTGTCGTGCGTGCGGGCGAGGCGACGTTGCGTGGGCGCGCGAGAGGAATGACCCCGCCATGGCTAGGGCGAGTCGGATGCAGTGGATTGCCCCTCCGCCCCCGGCGGGCGTGCAGAGGCCCAGGGTGTCTCTTCCGCCGCGGTGTCTTGTGGTGTCCCGTTGGTGTCCGTCGGTGTTCCGTCGGCGGTGGGTGGGCGGTGGCCAGGGGTGTCCCGTCTTGGTATCGATAGTGAAGTCGATAGTGAGATCGATGATGAGATCGCTAGAATAGGATGACTGGTGAGATCAAAAGTGGTATCGACGGTCAGTTCGATTGTGACGCCGGTTGTAAAATAGAAAGCGGGGACGATAGTGACGTTACATCGCAGCGCAACGTCGTCATCGGACATCGTCGCTGACTCGAGGGCGCGTCACCAGTTTCGTCATTCGCACACCCATCGCATTTGCCAGCAGTTTGTTCTTTCCCCCCACCCCCCGACCTCCTTATCACCCGAAGGGTGGATAAGGGTGGTCGTATAGGTATTGAGCACCTTTCAGATGTACGCTTCGAGCTTTGCATTCGAGGCACGTGGTCTTGTGATGCAAAGTTGGCCTGTTGTACGAGTCGGATCACCGATGGTCAGTGACTTCTTGACAGTTCGCGTATCCCCCCAGCCCATCCAGCAACGATGACCAGGCGAGTTGCATTGATCAGGGAAGTACGGGAGCACGCAGTGGAACAGAGAAGGGGGACAGCCGTCAAACCGAATGGCAGGATTTGCTTGAGCAGGCCCAGGCTTCAACCAGACATGCCTTCGCGAATGTGTGTTATATGTGGCAGCCTCTTGGCAGCTCACCTTGGCAATGTTGCAGCCCCGCTGAGGCCATTTGGAATGCATCTGGTGTCCTGCTGGGGCCCTGTTGGGGCCCACTTGGGGACCTTGGGCTGAGTGGGCCCTGGAAACGACAGGGCCGTTTTTTTACCGGTTCCGTTTTGCCGTTTTTGTTGCCAGTTCCGACGCCGTTTTTTTACCGGTTCCGTCGCCGTTTTTTCACGGGTTCCCGCTCCGGTTCCAATCCTGGAGGCGTTTCTGTTGCCGTTTCCGGTCGCCGTTTTTTGTTGCCGTTTCCATTTTCAAGGGACAATTTTTCGGAAACACTGAAAAAACGGCCCTGCAGCTTCCGGGGCCCACTAAGGGCCCACTTGGGGACTTTGGGGGCAATCTTAGAGGACATCGACCAAACAAGGGGGTCCTCACTTAGCGCTTCCCCGCTGGAGCACCGAGAGTCGCGTCTTGAGGCCGCCTTGAGACGCTCAAAAGGCGTTCCTGGATGCTCTTGAGGCAGCATCGAGGCAATACTGGGCCCCTACTGGGGCCATCTCGGGGGGGCTTCGAGGGCCCATCGGAAGGGAGAAAGCGAGAAAGCAAACAACAGTGATCTCCCATAGGTTTGAGCATACTTGAGAAGCTCCGTGGAGCCATAGTGAGACCTGAAGTGCCCATCGGAAGCGAGACGGCGAGAAGGCGAAACACATTGATTTGGCCCTACGTGTGGGTAGGATTCGGGCCTCTCGGAGGCGTCCTTGGCTTGGAACGGTTTCGAGATTTCTTGGAGGCAATCTCGAGCGATCTTGACTATCCGAAGCCATCTGAGAGGCCATCTTGGGCCCTCTTGGAGCCACCTTGGACGCTCTGACCGCTCGCGGGGCGCCCCGTCCAGACCCAGGGGGATGGGGAAGATGGAGGGGCAAACCCATCCCCGAAAGGTAAGAAGCGGGTTGGAAGCGGAAGAGCTCTATACCACAAGCACCCTAAAGGGTTGGTGGGATTCGGTTGTCCATGCGAGGGCATATATATATGTGTGTATGTGTATATACATAGATTTGCGTATGTGTCTATACTAAGAGTTATAAAAGGATATGTACGCATGTGTGTATGTATCTATATTTGCATGCATGCATGTACGTGTGTATGTATGTATGTATGCATGAATGTATGTATGTATGTATGTATGTATGCATGAATGAATGTATGTATGTGTGTATGTATGTATGTATGTATGTGTGTATGTATGTATGTATGTATGTATGTATGTATGTATGTATGTATGTATGTATGTGTATGGATCAATGGATGGACGGATGAACGGATGGATGTAAGCGTGTGTATGTCAGAAGCCTGGCGACGGCCAGCAAACCCGTGGCTGTTGAAACGGAGTTGCGGGAAATTGTTTTTTTCCTTCCGGGAAGCAGCCCTTGTACGATTTAGTGCGTTGAGTTTGATTATGGGAATTCGTTGCTTCATTCGGGAAGACCGTTTTAGCAGCCGCGGATTTGCCAGCTCTCGACCAGTTTCCAGGTATCTATGTATGTACGTGTGTATATATGGTTGTATGTATGTATGTATACATGTGTGTATGTGCATGTGTATATGTATGTGTATATATATATGTATATATGTGTATGCGTATGTATGGTTGGTTGGTTGGATGTGTGCTTGGATGTCCACCTGCCTGTCTGTCTGTCTGTCTGTATGTATGTCTACATTACGGAGGATACATCCCATGTTTTGCTTAATTGGAGAGGCCTGCCAGCAATCGTTGCGGGTTTAGCCAGTCGAGCTTCCCTGCGAAATGTGATCTTAGTCTGGCGGTATGGATCAACAAACGCTCAGGCAGAGTAGAAGCGTGGTTGGAGTGGGAGTGGAAATTGGAGCCAGTGGTGGAATGAGAAGGGGGGCCAGGATGAGAAAAAAGGACAGCGTGAAAAGCGGGAATACGAGGGGCAGTGCGGAAAAGAGGGGGCGGATGGGCAGAGGGGGGCATCATGAGAAGAGGGGAGGGCGGAAAGAGGAGGGGGCAGCACAAAAGAGTGGGCCAGAACGAGAAGAAGGGGGCCGTGCAGGTGGCCGCCCCGAGGGGGCCTACATCAGGCCGCACGTGTCCGGGTACGGATGGGCGGAGTCGCCGTTCACCGACATACCCTACGCGTTCTGGTGCGCCGGCGAGGGGGGCGGGGGAGGGGAGCTGGGCGCCAGGAGCAGGTCGCCTCGCCCGACTCCTCCTGGCCCGCACCGCAAGCCGTGGCGGAGAGACCGCGGGAGGGGAGCCTCAGGATCGAGGAAGAAGAACCAGCATAATCATTTACGTTTTGAAACACAACGAATGCGGAGCCATCTTGTGTCTCTCTAGGGGTCCTCGCGGAGCCACTCTGGGCACTCTTGGGGCTCCTCTGGGGGGTTTGGTGGCCCTCTTAGGGGCTCTTCAGGGGTGTCTGGGAGGCCTCCTGAGGCAATTTCGTGTTCACTGTTCAGAAAGAGGGGGGGGTCGGAAATGCAGCGCACCCGCCCTCAGAGGCTCAGACACTGCCTGGGCTGAGGCCTCCGAGGCCCATCGGAAGCGCTTAGGCGAGAAGGCACGAATCAAAATTGTTTCTTATGTTTGGGAGCCACGTTTGCCTCTTGGGTAGTCCTCGGAGGGCTCGGAGGGAACTTGAAGCCATCTTGGGGCCGTCTTCCGGTCTCCTGGATGTGTGGCCGAGGCTATCCTGAGCCATCTCGAGCAGCCATCTTGGGCCATCTTGGACGCTCTAACTGCCCGCGCCCCCCCCCCCCTCCCAGTCCCAGGGAAGGGGGGAGGGGGAGGGGTCTCGGAATTTCTTGGCGGTCTGGAGGGCCTCTTGTCTCGTCTTGGGTACATCGGGGGGGCCTCTTGGAGTTCTCCTGGGAGCCTCTTGGGGCCCTCTCGGGGCCCTCTTGGGAGCCCTGGGGCCCTCTTGGGGCCATCTTGGAGGAGGTCGATCAAAGAAGGGAGTACTGCCCCCCCCGGCAGACCAGCATGGGTACAAGACCCATGTAAAATCAACGATGTGTGCCTTTTCGTCGTGGTCATTTTGGACGCTCCATCGACCTGCCGCCCCCCACTCCGGGTCCGCGATGGGTTCAGATCCCCACCAGACGCGTGAGATCCCAACCGGACGGTTCAGATCCCAACCGTCTAAAACACCAGGCACGGTCAGATCCCAACCGAGGAGGAAGCGAATAAAGAAAACATATTGAAAAAATACCATACTTGTTCATTGCTATCTGAAATTCTAGACGCTTCGCTTATCCCCACCAGCCCATCCCGAAACGATGTCCAGGCGAGTTGAGGTGATCAGGGAAGTGCGGCAGCAAAGAGGAGGACGGCCGAACCGTGCAAAGGAGTGAGGAGGAGAAGGAGGAGGTGGATGGATGGATGGATGAGGGAGTGGGAAGACGGAGGATGAATAGGATGAGGAGGAGGCGGAGGAGGAGGAGGAGGAAGAGAAGGAGTAGGAGCAGGAAGGAGGAACAGGAGGAGGAGGAGGAGGGCAAGCACAAGGCCAGAGGTCTCTTGGATGCCTCTAGGAGCCTCTTGGAGTATCTCTTGGGCGATTCTTGGGGGCCTCTTGGGACGTCTTGGGGGTCTCTTGGCGATCCTGGGGGGCTCTTCGGGGTCTTGGGTGCCTCGGGGGGTGGGCCTCTTGGGGCCTCTGAGGGTCTTCTAAGGGGCCTTCTGGGGGCCTCTTGGGGGCCTCTTGGGGCCATCTTGGGGCCATCTTAGGACCTCTTGGGGCCTCCTGGGCGCTTCTTTGTGCCATCTTGGAGGAGATCTATCAAAGAAGAGCTGAGCTTTGATTAGCGGTGCCCCCCCAGGAGGCCAAAATGGGGCCAAAACCTTGCTAAAATCAATGATGTTGGCTTCCTCGCCGTGGCTGTTTTGGACGCTCTGACCGCTCCCCGCCCCTCCTGTCCAGGTCAGTGGGGAGGGGGTAGGGGGAGGGGTAAACCCCTCCCCGAAGGGGAAGAGGGAGGGGTGGAAGAGGAAACGCCCTAAACCACCGACGCCCAGAGGGCTGGTGGGATTGCGATGGACACCTTACAGGAGCAGATTTACGCCTGAGTTATTGCGGTTGGGATCGTCTGTTGTTGAATCGTAGTAGTGGTAGAAGTAGTAGTGGTAGTGGTAGTTGTAGTAGTAGTAGTAGTAGTAGTAGTAGTAGTAGTAGTAGTAGTAGTAGTAGTAGTAGTAGTAGTAGAACTACTACTTCTACTACTACTGGTAGTAGCAGTAGTAGCAGTAGTAGTAGTAGTAGTAGTAGTAGTAGTAGTAGTAGTAGTAGTAGTAGTCGTAGTAGTCGTAGTATTAGTCGTAGTCGTAGCCGTAGTAGTAGTAGTGGTAGTAGTAGCAGCAGTAGTAGTAGCTGTACTGGTAGTAGTAGCAGTAGTAGTAGTAGTAGTGGTGGTAGTAGTACTAGTAGTAGTAGTAGTCGTAGTCGTAGTCGTAGTCGTAGTAGTAGTAGTAGTAGTAGTAGTAGTAGTAGTAGTAGTAGTAGTAGTGGTAGTAGTAGTAGTAATAGTAGTAGTAGTAGTTAGTAGTAGTAGTCGTAGTAGTAGTAGTAGTAGTAGTAGTAGTAGTGGTAGTGGTAGTAGTAGTAGTAGTAGTCGTAGTAGTAGTAGTAGTAGTAGTAGTAGTCGTAGTAGTAGTAGTAGTAGTAGTAGTAGTAGTAGTAATAGCAGTAGTAGTAGGTCGTAGTAGCAGTAGTAGTAGTCGTAGTCGTAGCCGTAGTCGTAGTTGTAGTAGTGGTAGTAGCAGTAGTAGTAGCAGTAGTAGGAGTAGGAGTAGGAGTAGGTGTAGTGGTGGTAGTAGTAGTAGTAGTCGTAGTCGTAGACGTAGTAGTAGTAGTAGTAGCAGTAGTAGTAGCTGTAGCAGTAGTAGTACTAGTAATAATAGTAGTAGTAGTAGGAGTAGTCGTAGTCGTAGTAGTCGTAACAGTACTCAGGAATAGTAATAGTACCAGGAATAGTAGCAGGAATAAGTAGTAGTAGTAGACATACTAGTAGTAGTAGTTGTAGTAGTAGTAGTAGTAGTAGTAGTAGTGGTAGTAGTAGCAGTAGTCGTAATATTGGTAAAAGTGATAGTAGTAGTAGTAGTAGCAGTAGCAGTAGTAGTAGTAGTAGTCGCCGTAGTAGAAGTAGTAGTAGTAAAAGTAGTAGTAGAACTAGTAGTACTTCTGGAGGGTGTAGTAGTATTAGTAGTGGTAGTAACAGTACAGTTCGTAATACTAGTAGCAGTACTTGTGGAGGGTATAGTAGTACAAATATTAGTGGTTGTAATAACAGTTGTGATAGTGTCACTAGGAATGGTAGATGTAGTACGACTAGAAGTCCGAGTATGAGCAGTAGTAGTAGTAGCAGTAACAGTAGTAGTAGTAGTAGTAGTAGTAGTAGTAGTAGTAGTAGTAGTAGTACTAGTAGTAGTAGTAGTAGTAATCGTAGTAGTAGTAGTAGTAGTAGTAGTAGGTAGAAGTAGTAGTAGTAGTAGCAGTAGTAGTAGCAGTAGCTGTAGCCGTAGCATTAGTAGTAGTAGTAGTGACAGTGGTAGTGGTAGTAGTAGTAGTAGCAGTACAAGTAGTAGTAGTAGTAGTAGTAGTAGTAGTAGTAGTAGTAGTAGTGGTCGTAGTAGTAGTAGTCGTAGTAGGAGTAGTAGTACTCGTTGTGAAAGTAGTAGTAGTAGTAGTAGCCGTAGTAGTAGTAGTAGTCGTAGTAGTAGTAGTAGGAGTAGCAGTAGTAGTGGTAGTCATAGTAGTAGTTGCAGTAGTAGTAGTATTAGCAGTAGTAGTGGTAGTACTAGTAGGAGTAGGAGTAGGAGTAGTGGTCGTAGTAGTAGTAGTAGTAGTAGCAGTAGTAGTAGTAGTAGTAGTAGTAGTAGTAGCAGTAGTAGTAGTAGTAGTAGTCGTAGTCGTAGTACTAGTCGTAGTAGTAGTAGTAGTAGTAGCAGTAGTAGTAGCAGTGGTAGTAGTTGTTGTAGTAGTTGCACTAGTAATAGTAATAGTAGTAGTAGTAGTAGTAGTAGTAGTAGTAGTAGTCGTCGTAGTCGTAGTCGTAGTAGTCGTAGCAGCATTGAGCAATAGTAGTACCACTAGGAATAGTAGCTGGAATAGTAGCAGTACTAGACATGATAGTAATTGTAGTAGTAGTTGTAGTAGTAGTAGTAGAAGTAGTACTCGTAGTAGTAGTAGTAGTAGTAGTAGTCGTAGTAGTAGTAGTGGTAGTAGCATTAGTAGTCGTAATGTTGGTAAGCGTCGTAATAGTAGTAGTAGTAGTTGTTGTAGTAGAAGTAGTAGTAGTAGTAGTAGTAGTAGTAGTAGTAGTAGTAATAGTAGTATTGCAAAACTTGTGGAGGGTGTAATAGCATTAGTAGTGGTAGTGTCAGTAAAATTCGTAGTATTAGTATCAGTACGTGTGGAGGTATAGTATTTCAAGTAGTAGTGGTTGTAATAGTAGTAGTAGTAGTAGTAGTAGCGATACTAGGAACAGTAGATGTAGCACGACTAGAATTCGGAGTAGAAGTAGTAGTAGCAGCAGCAGTAGCATTAGTAGTAGTAGTAGTAGTAGTAGTAGCAGTAGTAGTAGTAGAAGTAGTAGTAGTAGTAGTAGTAGTAGTAGCCGTCGCAGTCGTAGTAGTAGTGGTCGTAGCGCAGGTAGTAGTAGCAGTCGCAGTAGTAGTAGCAGTAGTAGTAGTAGTAGTAGTAGGAGTAGTAGTAGTAGTAGTAGTAGCAGTAGTAGTAGTAGTCGCAGTAATAGTAGTAGTAGTCGTAGCAGTGGTAGTAGTAGGGGTGGGGGGTGGTAGTAGTAGCAGTAGTAGTAGTAGTAGTAGCAGTAGTAGTAGTAGTGTTAGTTTCAGTCGTAGTATTAGTGTTACCATTCGCATCAGTAGTCGTAGTAATACAAACAATATGCCGCACTAGTCACAGCGCCAACGACAATAAAACCACAACTAAAGTGAGACGATCAAGATCGACAGTAGTTGCATCAGAGGACATACGCGTAGCCGAAGTTCTACTCGCACTAGTAGTGCGAGATGCCAGTACTAAGTGTAGTACGGTTTACGGTGGTAAGTGTCTCTCCGAATCTCTCAGAAGCTCTCAGAAGCTCTCAGAATCCCTTAGGATCTCTCAGAATATCTCAGGATCTCGCAGAATCTCTTAGAATCTCTTAGAGGCTCGCAGTGGCTCTCAGAACCTTGCAGAGGTTGGAGCTTTTCAGAGGTTCCAAAGAGGTTGGGATATCACGCGTCCCACGTGTCCTTGACGGTTGGGATCTGAACCGTCCGGTTGGGATCTCACGCGTCCGGTTGGGATCTGAACCTTTCTCCTCCGGGTCCAGGGGGGGAGGGTCGGGGGAGGGGTCGAGGCCCTCCCTTCGCCTGCAAGCCGTCTCGCTCACTCCCACCCGCCCTCCCAACACATGAGCAACACCCCATAGAGTCTCAGCATGTTAGGAGCGCCACGCACGCCATGTGCGCCACGGGTATCAGGTGCACCAGGCACCCTGGAGGCCCAAGCGAGCCAGGCGCGTCAGGTGCGGTACGCGCTACGCGTTCATAGTAATATGCAGGCACCCCCGCCGTCCCTGACAAAAACCACTGCAAAGTGGTCGCGGGGCGCCCGCGCATGTCCCAGATGTGGAGGCAACGTACAGTCTGTATGGTTTTTCTGACAGGGATGATCGGCTTGCGCACAGCGAGCAATATGACTGCACCCCCGCCGTCCCTGTCAAAAACCAATGCTAAGTGGTCGCGGGGCGCCCGCGAACGCTCTAGATGTGGAGGCAAAGTGCATGTTGTATAGTTGTTTGACCGGGATGGTTGGCCTGCGCGCAAGAAACAATATGACGGCACCCCCGCCGTCCCTGTCAAAAACCATGCAAAGTGGTCGCGGGGCATTCGCGCATGCTCCAGATGCAGACGCAAAGTGCACATCGGATAGTTTTTGTAAGAGGGATAGCTGGCTTGCGCGCAGCGAGCAGCATCACAGCACCCCCGTAGCCCTTGTCAAAAGCCAGTGCAAAATGGTCGTGGGGCGCCCGCGCATGTTCCAGATGTGGAGGCAAAGTGCAGTCTGCATAGCTCTTTGACGGGGATGGTGGAGGGGGGCGCGTCTCGGGTTGGCCCACAGTCGGGGTTGGGGAGGGGGTGCATGTTTAAACCAGCTTCGTCCAGAGGCCTGGTGGGATTCCGTATTGGGGGCGGTTCGATGTCACGCCGGCGGCGAGGGAGGGGGGGAAGCGAGAAGGAGAAGGTTTCCTCAGAAGATCGCGGGACTTCTCAGAAACCCTCGCGCTCTTGAGAAGATTTCTGCGTTGCTATGGGGAGGCTTGGACAAACAACTTCTCAGAAGGCCTGGGGACTCCCGAGCCTTCTGAGAAGGCCCGCCCCTTCTCACTTCCCCCTGCGGGCTCGCCGCTGATCATGGCACGGCACGGTACAGTAACCCCACGCTCGGGCAACCAAATCAAGTTGTGAGCGATTCAGCAACACAGCACGGCATCCTCCTCCTCCTCCTCCTCCTCCTCCTCCTCCTCCTCCTCCTCCTCCTCCTCCTCCTCCTCCTCCTCCAAGCACAGCTAGGGGGTCGCGGCGCAGTGGCACGGCAGGACATGGCACCGCTTCGGCCACCAGATCGCTGGATCGCGCCGGGCAGCGCGGCACGGCACGGCACCTTTCCGGACGGCCGTGTCACGTTGTGGGTTGCAGGGCACGGCACGCTGGCACGCAGGGGAAAGCTTATCAGCTTGAAGCAGATCGTTATCCCTATGCTTATGATCACCTTGCCTCGGTGCCGATCTTAAGCATACCCGCAGTTTCTAAGGGCACATCCCCTAAGATTGTGATCGCCTCGGGTTTCCCGAGGCTGGTTGAACTCCAACCAAGTGTCGAGAGACACGTCACCGTTCCACGGCACGGCACTGTCTCGGGTCGACGTTGTGTTGGGGGCGGCAAGGCACCGTGGCACGGCACAGAGCGGCGTGTCCCCAGGCATCCGAAGCATGTTGTGGGCGACATGGCACCACTGCACTACACGGCCCAATTATTGGGCAGCTTTCGGAAGACATAGCGTTGTACGGCATGGCACGGCACAGCATCATGGTCGTTTGATCAAGACGTATTGGATGACACCGTCGCACAGCATAGCACTGCATTGTACGGCGTTGTCTTCGGGGCACCAAATTATTTGTTAGGCGGCACGGCACTATGGTGAGGCATCATAATATCAGCACCACTTTCGGGGCAGCCAAGTTGTTCTGTGGACGACAGGCGCCTGTTGTAGAATCCGAACGCATCCTCACAACTCTGGCTGTTTGGAAAATAGCTTCTGAGTGCCCACGGCATTGGCCTGTGCAGCAGGATTGGGAGACTAGATTTCTGGGCCTTTTGGTTCAAGCCGAGCAGTGGTTGCCAGATACTGCAGGGTTCGCGTCGGGTGGCCGAGGACTGGGCCAAGTGTAAAAGGTGTCATGCTACAGCGGGGTGAGCTTGGAGTTGTGATAGGCTGGATACGCGGGCATCCCTGTGCATGCAAATGACGTGGCGATCACATTGCGGCACATAAATTGCAGATATTGGTCGCGTGTTCTTCGGCCCTTTCACAGGTGGTTCTTCGCAACCGCCACCACCGTGGGCTATGGCGACGACGTCCCTACGACGACGCTTGGCAGGAGCGGAGGGTATCTGGACATTTGCAGTCTCGTTCGGGGCGGGCTACGTTGTCAGTTATGCCTGGTTGGCTCGCCAGGGCACATAGGCACAGCGCTGCCGAAGACAGGGAACTCCTGCTTGCAAGGAACACACACGAGCGTGGTAGGGCGCGCATGCAGAAATCTAGCAGCTTACTCGTGCACCGAAGTTCCTACACACTGGCACACGCAGCAGGAGTGCAGGTGCGTGCGCTGTGTGGGCACGCGCGTTCTCTGATTCGGTGGTTCCGGCGCGCCCGCTCGGCACGTGCGAAACGGCTACATGAGCGGAACACGAAACAATAGTGTCACGACGGATGGATGTGTTTGATGATGCGTTTCGTATGTGGTGGCATGTTGTGGTCAGGGGATTTCGGTTGCTGGAAGGGAATTGACAGACCGTGCCGTGGTCGCAGTCATGAGGGTGAGAGAATGCGTAGGAAAGGCCCCCCTCCTCACCAGTTGTGCGACCTTCAGCGGTCAGCGATCTCTTGTGGAAGCGAGGCAAGTTGGGAGAACCCGCGTGCCAACGCATTGCAACAGAGAAGCAAAGTACATTGCATCTGAAACGATGTTGATTATTACGAGCGTGCGCTGAATGTGCAATTCGTTCAACACCCGCTGGATAGGACCATCGGCTTGATCACGTTCTACGTGGGCATTGTGTTGCTTGCTCTGCCGATCACGATAATTGGCGGGTGCTTCAGCAAGCACTATAGCGTATGGGTCGAGGAGCCGCGTGGCATCAAAGACGATGCATCTCTCCCATGCTTATTCATGTACTTGCATCCTGCATCTCCAACAGATCGAGCAGAAAAGGTTGCAGAACTGTGTTGCCAGCCGATGTTGATTCTGAGTTATGGGTCGGCACAGATGTTGTATCTTCGATGGTGATCGTGGGCGGGAAACAGATCCGTATCCAAGGCCTCGCGGGCCAGGCCCTTGGGCCGCGACCCCGTGGAAACGGGCGAGTTGTTCGCGAGTGCCCCGCGCAGAAGGTACGCATGCAACCGCGTGTCCACGGAATCGCGCCCCAGAATCCAGACCGAGATGGCGTGGATATGGATACGTTCGCCGTTCGTGGATCCAGAATCGTCCCAGCGCTTGATGCCACGAAAGCCGCGGTGGTGGCATGCACGGGACTGTTGCGGCGGCTATTTGGAGAGGTGTCCGAGCGTGCGCGAGATTGCAGTCGACGATTGCACCGAAGGGCTCGACGATGTTTCGGATTGTGAGCAGGAGGGGAAGGATGGAGCGGGAGGGGGGAGTGGAAGCAGAGCATGGGGTGTGAGGAGGATGAGCGGGAGAGGAGGAGGAGGAGGTGGAAGGGAGGAGGAGGATGAGGAGGAGCAGGAGGAGGAGGAGGAGGGGCAGACGGAGGAGGAGAAGGAACGCGAGGAGGAGGAAGAGAGAAGAAGGAGGAAGAGGAGATTGAGGAGAGGGAGGTATGGAGGGGGAGTGAGGAGGAGGAGAAGAAAGGAGGATGGAGGAGGAGGAGGAGGAGGAGGGAAAGGGAGGAAGAAGGAGGAGGAGGTGGAGGAGGAGGAGGAGAAGAAGGGAAGAGGAGAAGGACCGCATCTAGAGAGAGAGAGAGAGAGAGAGAGAGCGCGCAGGGCAGGGAGCAGCCGACGATCCGCCGCGCCACCCGCGCGACCAGGAGTTGCAGGCCATGACCCTGCTGCATGACAAGGTGAAGCCTGGCTCTTCGGATGCGCCCCCTCCTCCTCCGCCTCCTCCTCCTCCTCCTCCTCCTCCTCCTCCTCCTCCTCCTCCCCCTCCCTGAGTGTACGTTCGCTCCTCCTCCTCGCTCATCCCTCCATTCCTGTTCCTTAAACATAAGTTCCCGTGTCGCACCCCGAGACGCGTCGCTAGGGCTGGAGATGTCCTCACCATGTATGACTTTGAAGCTTGAAACCTGCAACACTTTCACAGATGGAGGGCGGGCAGTTTTCAAAATGTGGTTCTCGCCTTCGTGCCGCGCACATTCGTTTTAGGGTCGTTGTCCAATCATGGTTGTCGTGTTAGAGCCGCGCACGCTCGTGCAAAAAAATGGAAGAGCTTTACGGGTGGAGGGCGGACCGTTTTCAAATTGTGGTTTCCGCCTTAGCGCCGAGAACATTCGTTTTAAAAGTTCGGACGAGTTTCACGGGTGGAAGGCAGGACGTTTGCAACATATGGTTCTCGTTGTAGCGCCGCGCACATTCGTTTTAAAAGGTTCCAAGAGCTTCGCGGATCGATTGCGGCTCCTTGTCAAAATGCGGTTCTCGCCTTAGCGCCGCGCACAGTTGTTTCAAAAGTTTGCGCGGCGGCTCATTTCCCCAATGTGCTTCCAGCTTGATCGCCGCGCTTCACAGATGGAGGGCGGCTATTTCCCAATGTGGCTCACGCCTTAGCACCGCGTACAGTCGTCCTACGAGATGACAGCAGTCTCAAGGATTATTATGGTTGACGTCCCAGAAATAATGTTGTGGCACGATGTAGGAGTGTGAGTGCGCAACAGTCGTGTTGATTCACAGTGTTGAAGTCCCACGAACAGCGTTCTGGCACGATTCAGGATCGTGAGGACGAAGCCGTAACGTTGGTTCGCGGCGTTGCAGTCCCAGGAATGGTGTTTTAGCACGGCTCCGGATTTTCAGACAATTGCCTTCCAACGGGTAGCTCCACTAAGCGAGAAAAGATCCTTGGATGGGCCTATGAGGAGCGAACTTGGAGGGAGAGTTTATTGCAACGTCGTTGGTGAATCCTTGGTGTACACTGGTCCTCATCCCTCCTCCCCATCATTCCGTATCCATCCTCCCTCCCGCCCCCTCCTTCATCCTTCCTCCTCCCCCTCCCTGCCCCCTCCTCCAGGGATCCTTGCCGCCTAGCGCTCCCATCTCACCCCCCCCCCCTTCCCCCGACGCCGCGCCGCCCCGGCTGCCGGCGAGCCGCGGGAGGGCAGGGCGCGGCGCGGGCCCTCGCTCTCCCCGCTGCCGGGCGTTCGAGTTACGTCGGGCATGTCCCTCTACAGGAGGCATGTTCAGAGAGAGTCCAAAGATCAAGGGAGGAAAAGAGCACCCAGACCCCGGCAACTGGCGTTTACCAAACGGCCCTGGGCGTTTACTAAACAACCCCACCCTGTTCGGTTCCTTCCTTGGGTGCGTCTACTAAACGGCTGCGCTTGTCGGGGTGCATGGTATCGGGGTGGATGTTCCGCCCTCTAAAACAGAATTTCGGGGACGCCTTGTTGCATGACTTCTCTTTGGACCATCTTTGAATCTGTTTTGGGGATGTTTCGTTCCTCATCCAATATCAGACTGCAGGAGGACACGCCCGACCCAACGTTCCAGGGAGGGGGGGGGTGGCCGGCCCGAAGACCGGGCCAGGGCGGGCCTGCGGAGGGGCCCAGGAGAGGGCCGGCGAGCGGCCCGAGCGCGCTCGTCGGCACAGCGAGCCGCCAGACGACCGCCGAGCGGCCACGGGACGCGACGAGAGAGGAGCGCCAGCGGGGCAGCCAAGGGTCAGCATTAGGTGGGGCCTGTCCCCCTACAGGGGGGTCTTCGACGAAAAGTAAAAAAATACCCCACAAAATACCCCAGGATGGTCCGAAAGTACTCAAGGAATAGTCCCCGGACTATGTTTGGATTATTGTTGGCGCATGTTGGGTTTTTTTTATTCTTCGTCGAAAATCCCCCTGTAGGGGGACAGGCCCGACTTAAGGTCAGTATCGGTTCACCGACCCCCATCCCCATCCCCATCCCCGTCGAGACCGCCCACCAGATTGCCCCCCAGCTGGGCATGCACCCCTCGAAGCCCGAAGGGAATGGCCTGTGTCCCCATCTGGGGGTTAGATCGGCCAGTGGGGCCCAGGCCACGCCGCTGGGGATAGGGATCGGATAAGCGATGCTCAAAGGGACAACCACGCGGCAGCCAGGCGACCACCGCCGAGAGAATTGCCGCGGCAGTCTGCCCATCGACTGCGGGACAGCCCACGCGACAGCCGCCTGGACAGGCCCAGGGAACACTGCGGGGACGCGGGTGCGCGCAGGAGGGCAACACAAAAATTGGCGTGTACCACCCTTGGATAGGCAGCATGTCTCTCGCACTCGCGCACGTCTGCCTCGCGCGCGCGTCACGCACGACGCGAGACGAATTGGAAATCGACATCGACTTTCCGGCTGGGGCTGCTCTTCTTCATTTCGGTCTCACCGTCCCCCCGCCCCCAACACCCAATGTGTGTATTGTAAGTGTGCGGTTGGTGTGGCCATTTGATGCTCTTGTCGCACGCTCGTGTAGCGCACCCTGGGTGGCCGCGCGCTAACCGACTCGTTTCACCGAGACGTATCGCAACCCGTGCTGGTCCAGGAAGTGAGGCCGATTCACCGAGCTTCTTTCGCGAAGCGCCACACGTTCAATACGTCGGAGGTTGGGGGGATGAGATCGCAGTGGAACGGAGAGACCCCCACCAGGAATCGGTTCCGGTTTCGTCTTCGTGACGTGCCTGCGGGCGAGGCGAAGCTGCTCGGGCGCGCGAGAGGAATGACCCCGCCGTCGCTAGGGCGATTCGGATGCAGTGGACCGCCCCTCCGCCCTGGGCGCACGGTGGCCGAGGGTGTCCCGCCGTGGTGTCTTGTGATGTCCCGTTGGTGTCCCGTCGGTGTTCCGTAGGCGGTGGGTGGGCGGTGGCTGGAGGTGCCCCGTTTTGGTATCGATAGTGAAGTCGATAGTGAGATCGATTGTGAGATCGCTCGAATAGGATGGAGAGTGAGATCACAAGTGAGGTCGACAGAGAGGTTGGTTGTGACACTGGTTGTTAGATCGATCATGAGATCGATAGTGAGATCGATGAAGGAACCGATAGTCAGATCGATAGTGAGATCGACTGTGAGACCGATAGCCATCACGCGTCGTCGCTAACTCGAGGGCGCGTCACCAGCATCGTCGTCATCACACCCATCGCATTTGCCAGCAGGTGTTCTTTGTCGCCCACCCTCCAACCTCCTTATCACCCGAAGGGTGGCCGAGTAGGTATTTGACGAGTAGATTACTGTGAACTCATACAGGAGCCATTTCTCATGCTTCTGATGTTGGCATTCCAGCGACGGGGCAGAAAGAGGAGAGTAGGACGCGAGGAGGGGGAGAGGGAGGAGGAAGCCAGGCTTGACTTGCTCACGAGTTTAGCAGCCTCACGAGAGGTCACAGGAGGAGGAGGAGGAGGAGGAGGAGGAGGAGGAGGAGGATAAGGCGGAGGAAAAACCTCTACTTTGCCTTCCCTCCGTCCCCCTCCTCCTCCTTCATCTCGCATCCCATTCGCCTCGTCCCGCCCGTAGTGTGATTCAGAGGAGCAGGAGGAGCGAGAGCAGGAGAAGGAGGAGGAGTCATTGGTGGCTCATGCTTCTGATGCTGGCATCCTCACGAGGTGCCCAGAGGGACCAGCATGGCGAGCGCCACGGCCGATGGCAAGAAAGGCGCGCCTGGAGGAGGTGGAGGACGAGGGCCCCGCCTTCCTCGCCCTCTCCCTCTCCTGCCTCTCCACCTTCTCCGTGTCCCTCCCCCATCGCCTCTCCTCCCGCCTCCCTCGTGAGCCCTCCCCCCCCCTCGCGGCTCGGGTGGGCGCCCACTCGGCGTTCCCTAGGACGCCCGCGCGGAAACGCCACACGTACCGCGCACAACGCTTCCGCATGACCACGCTGCGAGTGGGCTCGGCACGCGTGGGGTCCGCGTGTTGACGAACACATCGCGCCAGACCCACGCATCCAATCCCACGTGTTGATCTCCGTGCCAACACGCCACGGGCTGCGTGTTGCGTATCGGGGCAGTTGCGCAAAGGCACCCCCTCGCCAGCCTACCAGCGCTCGCGGGCGTCGGGGCCCGAGAGGCGGGGATCAGCCAGAGCGCCAGGCCCTGCAGGGTCCTGCAGAGCCAGGGGTGCACTGACCCGGCTCAGCGCGCAGGACCTTGCAGATCTTGCGAGGCCTGCCTGCCCCCAGGCTTGCACTTGCCCGGGTCAGTGCGCCTTCGAAGGCGGACGGCGGATGCCCGGGCGCAGGCCAGAGGAGGCAGCACGGCGGCCTGCAGGGGCACCGGCCGCCAGCGCGCGCCGGACGCGGCCGCGCAGAGCATCCGGCAGCCCAGGGTCGACCGCACGTACGAGGGCCCCTTCGCCAGAGTGACCGCTTGGTGCGGGCTCATACACCGGATGGGGCTTGAGGGTTTCTCCGAAAGGCTTCGGCGACCCGTCCTCATCCTCCTCCTCAGGTCCTCCCCCTCCTCTGCTTCTCCTCCTCTTCCTCCCACCTCCTCCTCCTCCTCCTTTTCCATCTCCTCCTCCTCCTCCATCTCCTCCTCCTCCTCCTCCTCCTCCTCCTCCTCCTCCTCCTCCTCCATCTCCTCCTCCTCCTCCATCTCCTCCTCCTCCTCCTCCACCTCCATCTCCTCCTCCTCCTCCTCCACCTCCTCCTCCACCTCCTGTTCCTCCTCGGGTCGCCTACGGCCCCGAGGGAAACCGTGCAGACGGGGCCAGGGCGAGGATTGCTCCGTTGCAGAGCGTTCCGGAACGCTCGCGGAGCGTTCCACGACGCTCGGAGAAGGCCGCGGCGCTCGAGGCATCCTCCAGGAGCCGCCGGATCGCAGAGATTCTCGATTTCTCCTCACCAGAATTTATCCTCCTCTTGGCTTCGTCTTATCATAGGGGTCCCCCTAGCTCGACCACGCGCAGAGGGGTGCAGGGGGAGGGGGGAAGGCGTCTCAGCAGCACCCCCGCTTCTCAGAAGGCGCGGGCCTTGTCTGCAGATGTGAGGACTGCGCCTTCTGAGAAGCGGCCCTGCTCCTAAGACTATGATGTTCCAACCTACTTTAGCCTTGATCACCAGAAAGAATTTCGAGCCCTCCAAAATGAACCGAAACTCTAGGGTTTTCAGGTGTCGGGCCCTGGGAGACACTCGTCCGACACTGCTTCGACACTCTTTCGACACTTCTCCGTGTGCTCGAAATTATTTCTGGAATATGGTCCTTAAGCACGATAGGAGCAGCATCATCCAAAAAAGCCTTCCCTTAATGGAGGATGACGATTAACAAATGACCAGGGGTCGTGTTCACGCGGCGGCGCCCGGGATGACGATCAAAAAAAAACCGGCCGCGGGCTGGAAAACTATGATTTAAATCGTTCTCTTCCAGGCAGAAGATTGTGCAGAAATCGCAGAAAACTATTTTTTTAATCGTGCTTTCCCATTTGTTTTATTGTAGTGACCTCCAGCCAGTGCCGCCGATCCGGGGCGCTCCGGGTGCCTGTGGAAATGAACGACGACGAGTAAGACGAAAACGACGACGAAAACGAATACGTCGACGACGGCGACGACGAGAGCGACGACGACAACGACCACGACGACGACGACGACGACGGCGGTGACGACGACGACGCGAGCGACGACGACGACGACGACGACGACGACGCGAGCGACGTTCTTTCCCAGTTGTTTTCTTAATCGTCATCCCGCAGTACCCCCCCCTCTGGCGCGCTGCCAGCCGGCACCGGCCGGCACGCGCGGATGGGGTCCCCTCCGCGGCCGCCGAGCGCCGCGCACCGAGGGTCGCTCTTGCCCAGGGGCGCTCAGGAGGAGAAAGAACACACAGACACAATGAATCGTCCACTCCCAGGAAAAGATGGGAAAGTATGGGAAGTGGTGGGAGAGACAGAAACCCCGAAAATAGGGGAAAATATGGGGGGGATCTTTCTTTTTGTGTGTATTTATTTGGGTGTTTGGGGCCCCTTGAGTGTAGCCGACAAGAGCGGGCTTCTGCTCCGGCGGCGCAGAAGCGCCTAGGGGTTCCCGTCGTGGATGTGCGGGGGAGAAAATCGGGGGTGGACAGACCTCCTACCCTGACACGTCGAGTAAGGAATTGAGCGTTTTCGGCTCGCGAGAGGGCGTCGCAGCCGTCATTTTTGCGGGTCCAGGTTCGTCGGTTTCGGGCCCAGGCCGTTTTCACTAAGGGGAGGTCTGTTAAAGGGAGGTTTGTCCACCGCCGAGAAAAGTTCAAGCAGTGGCGAAGCGTCCTGGCTCGCCTATAGCCCTACCAAACAATGTTCTAAGAGCCTTTTGTGGTGTCCACGAAATGTTCTTAAAACATGTCTGGCGGATTCTGTCTTGTTTTGACACATCGGGTCTGTGTTATAAGAACCTTGTGTTTGTTCTTAGACCTTTTTGGGGATCTAAGAACATCTCGTGGTAGGACTAGGAATGCCGGGCCGGTCGGTCCCTGCTAAGAAAATTGCATGAGCGTAAACGTTCGGAGCGCCTTGCGGATCTCTTGGATCTGCGCTGGGGCCCTCCTGACGGCACCGCCCCTGGCGCGCGGAGCGCGCTAGGGAGGGGGATTCAGCGCAGATCCAAGAGATCCGCGCGGACCTCCAAAAACTTCTAGACGCATCGCGTATCCCCACCAGCCCATCCAGAAACGATGTCCAGGCAAGTTGAGGTGATCAGGGAAGTGCGGGAGCAATGAGGTGGACGTCCGAACCGTTCGAAAGAGGGAGGAGGAGAAGGAGGCTGGATGGATGGATGGATGGATGGATGGATGGATGGATGGATGGATGGATGGATGAGAGAGTGGAGAGAAGAAACATGAATACGATGATGATGATGATGATGATGATGATGATGATGATGATGATGATGATGATGGTGATGGTGATGGTGATGGTGATGGTGATGGTGATGATGATGGTGATGATGGTGATGATGATGATGATGATGATGATGATGATGATGATGATGATGATGATGATGATGATGATGATGATGATGATGATGATGATGATGATGATGATGATGATGAGAGAAGGAGGAGGAGGAGGAGGAGGTGGAGGAGAGGAGGAGGAGTGGAGGAGGAGGAGGAGGGGGAGGAGGAAGAGGAGTAGGAGGAGGAGGAGGAGGAGGAGGAGGAGGAGGAGGAAGAGAAGGAGGAGGAGGAGGAAGGAGGAGCAGGAAGAGGAGGGCGAGCAAAAGGGCCAGAGGTCTCTTGGATGCCTCTCGGAGCCTCTTGGGGTATCGCTTGGGTTCTTTTTGGTGGCCTCTTGGGACGTCTTGGGGGTCTCTTGGCGGTCCTGGGGTGCTCTTGGGCGTCTTGGGCGGCTCGGAGGCTCTTTTAGAGCGTTTGGGGGGCATCTTGGGTGCCTCGGGGATCCTCTTGAAGCCTTTTGGGGACCTCTTGGGAGTCTCTCGGGAGCCTCTTGGAGGCCTCTTGGGGCCATCTTGGAGGAGATCGATTAACGAAAGGGGTTCCTTGATTAACGCCCCCCCTCGGGAGCCCCACTAATCACCTCTTGGGCCCCTCGTGACGCGATCTTGGAGCGCTCTTGAGGCCGTCGTGGGGCTCTCTTGGGCCTCCCTTAGGGCCCTGATGCCCCCTTGGAATTGTAATGAGGCCTATTCGGCCTCTGAAAACCATCTAAAGCGAAAAGGCGAGAAGGCAAAAAACATGTCCTTAGGTTTTGGAAGAATTTGGGCTTCTTCGGGGCCTCCTTGGGGAGCTCTTTGGCCACTTGGAGCCGTCTTGGGGCAGTCTTGAGGCCTCCTGGAGCCGCTTGGGAGCCTTCTTGAGCAATCTTGCGCTATTTTGAGCCATCTTGGAGGTTATCTTGGGCTCTGTGAGGCCCTCTTGGAGCCCTCTTGGGCCATCTTGGACGCCCCAACCCGGCGCGGAACGCCCCGTCCAGGTCCAGGGGGAGGGGGTAGGGGGAGGGGTATACCCCTCCCCAAAGGGGAAGAAAGGGGATTGGAAGAGGAAGCTCCCTAGACCACCTACGCCCAGAGGGCTGGTGGGATTATGTTTATTATGTGTCTCTTTGTGTAGTTTTGATTCGTCACCATGGAGATACCCCTCAGATCTGGACACTGCCACTTTTTCACGCTGGGCGCTTTCGACCAGTTGCGACCCCCGGGGCCAGCGCAGATCGATCCGGCTCGAAAAGTGCATCAGAAAGATGCGGCCCAGGGCTCTGCTCGTGATTTTTTCGCAACCATCCTGTGGTGTTGGGTCCTCGTTTTGAAGAGACAGCGCCCCGCGTCCCACCTTCCTTCCTCCTCCTCCCCCTCCTCCCCCTCCTCCCTCCGCCCCCTCCTTGCCTTTGCTCTCGGCACACCTCTCACACGCTTCGTAGCCCCATAGGGAGCTGGTCGTGATGTTTCACCGTGCTGCAGCTTCTCGCCACGTCGGCTCCGAGGGACAGTGGTGCGGGGAGGGGGTCCGGGGGGAGGTGGCACGTCCCGGGTTGGCCCTCAATCGGGTGTGGGAGCGGGGGAGCAGTGATAAGCCCCCCCCCGCAGGTGAAGAAGGGGCCTGGAAGAGGAAGCTCGCTGAACCACTCACGCCCAAAAGGGCTAGGTATACAAGGGCTCCCACGAGGGCGCGAAGTTATTCGCGCTTCGCGCTTCGCGGTCCTCGTTCCTTCTCCCCTTCCTCCTCGTCCTCCTTTTCTCCCTTTGGGGGGGCGGCGCGAGAGCGCGAAGTTATTCGCGCCTCGCGCTTCGCGGAGCGCGAAGCGCGAAGTTGGGAGCCCTAGGTATAGTGGCATTCGCGGCCGGGGCTCGCCGTGGTCAGGGAGGCCCCCGTCGCTTCCCCGCTCGGCCCTCACGACGGCACGACGGCGGCAGCCCCGAGGCAGCCCCCCGGAGCCTGGGCCCGCTTCCCGTCCAGACCTCAGCCCCTCGTGGCAAGCTGGTGCGGCACAGGGGGCGCGGAGTGCGTGTGCGCTGGCAGACTCGAGCAGTGGCGCAGCGTCCTGCCGTGCTTATGGGCCAGCCAAACAGTGCTCGAAGAGCCTTGTGTGGTCTGCACGAGAGGTGCGCAGAACATTTTGCTGGCTGGGACTGTCGCGTTTTACACACAGGGCTTGTGTTCCAAGAGCCTTGTTTTTGTTCTTTGAGCATTTTGGGGTTCTACGAACATGTCGTGGTAGGCCTATAGGAATGCCGGGACGGTCGGTCCCTGCTCAACAGACGGGTCGGCTCGAGGCGCACTTGCGGTGCCGCCGCAGGTTCCGCCTCTGGCGCGGCCCTGCCCCAGGAGCCCTGTGCCAGAAGCAGCTCGCGGCCCTCGCAGCACGCGCGCCGGGTCCCCGGCCTGGTGGCATGGCCCCAGGCGCTGCTGGAGATGCCCGGCGGCGCTCTCCCCGGCGAGGCTGCGAGTGGCGGCAGGGCTCGGCACGGAGGTCACAGTCGGTGGCGACGCCCAGCCGCGACGCCTGCAGTGCTGCCGACGCGAGCGGGATGCCGAGCTGCAGGCCTGCGGCTCATTGGCGCGACAGTGCGGTGCCAAAAGGTGCAGACGTCGCCGCGCCAGCTGTGCCGACGTGCGGCCTGCCGTCTTCGAGAGAGCGCCTCGGCCACCGGGGCACATCCCGCCCGGGACGCAGGGTTTGCCGCTGGTCTGCCGCGGTGCCGGCTCCGTCTACTTGGGTGCGTGCAGAACACCCGGCGCAGCGGCAGATGTGCACTGCGCGGCCGCCTTTCGCGGGACGTCGTCATGATGGCAAAATCAAACGCAGTGCGGGCGTGTGGGAAGACGCCGTCGTCAGCGTGCTGCGGCGGCGGCCCGCTGGCCTCGCGGCCACCGAGCTGTGGGCCGCCGTGGGCCCTCGTGGAGATCGGGGTCGCCGAGCGCCAAGCGGCTGCAGTCATCGCGAGAGCATCCGCCAAGGGTCGCGGCGGCCCTGGAGGTGCAGCGGGTTTTTTTTCCAGCCCCGACGGAGGTGAGTCGCGAAGTCGTCCACCTGGAGGGCCTCGCCGGGGCGGCGGAGTCGGCTCCAGCCGATGGTAGGCCGCTCTCCGAGGCTCGTAGGTGTTCGGGGCGACGGGGTGGGCGGGGAGTTGCGGGATGTCCCCGCCGCCGACACGCACCTCGGTTTTCTGGTGCGACCGCTCGCGCTTGTGGGGGCATCCAGGAGCGCGACCACGACTGTGCAGGCCTCGTCCGGACAGCACAGCACGGTGGTTTGCTCATGGCCGGACAGCACAGCACGGCGCGGCTGAAGAGGACTGCTACGCGCACCCGCCAGGACGGAATTGCTCGTGGCTGTGTCCATGTAAACGATGTGAATGGGGGGGGGGGGGGCTACGCGGAAAACCGGATGCCCACGGGAAGCGGCCGAGAATGTCACGGGCCGAGCAGTAGGGGCGTTGTGTGGTTATGGCCAACATATGCACGCTCGGTGAGCAGCGCCTGTCGGAGACGCTGCCAAAGCAGCCGCCAGCATGGCAGCGCGTTTCCTCCTCCTTCTCCTCCTCCCCCTCGTCCTCCTCCTCCTCCTCCTCCTCCTCCTCCTCCTCCTCCTCCTCCTCCTCCTCCCTGGTATGCGATTCGTGACATATCCGTTGCGTCTTGAACGCTCGCAAGGCCGAAGTTCGTGACATGTTCGTTGTGCATGGGTTATCGTGTCGGGTGCAGTCGCCGTCGATAGAGTGCGTCCTGTTCGGCACCTGTACGCTCGGAGTTGGTCCGCTTCATCGAGGGTGTTCTTGCAAGCACACGGGGTTGGAGCTGGAGCAATTTGGGCCAGCTGAGCGTGCTGGCCTCTCTCTCCCAGCTCGCATCAGAGTCTGCAGTATGCCCAGGCCGTGGCGCGTGCTGATCAGGCTGACAGGGCGTGGTGCTCAAGCTCCCTCCCTCCTCCTCCTTCTCCTCCTCCTTCTCCTCCATCACATCCTTCTCCCGCCCCTCTTCGACTGGCTGGAGACCAAGCTGGCGAAGTGCTTCTAGCTTCGCGGGGCCCCTGCAACCGTATCTTCCCTCATCAGCTGCTCTTGCCAGTTGCGCACCGCCCGACGCTGACAGGCGTTCTGCGCCATCGGCCTGGAAATCCCTAAAAGTCCCTTATCCCGCCTCCCAAATCCCTCCACCCTCCTACAACGGGATCCTACGACCCTCCTGCGACGGGACGGGGTCCCCGGCCCCTCCACCCTCCAACGACGGGCAAGACGGCCATGGTGGAGGTTCCCACTCAGAGTTGGCAGAAGTGACCGAACATTGTACGGTTGAGTGAGTGGTCTCTTCAGGCCCCGCATGTGAGCATTCCTCACGCCGCAGTTGTAGACGAGGCGGTTGCACCCAGGATCACGCGCAGACAATAGTCCGCATGCTGACAGTGCGATGTAGCGCCCAATCAAGATAAGTGCGTTCATGAATTGACTTGCAGTAGTATTAGTGTCATTCAGTGGGGCAGGTTGAGGTGCAGAGTGGATGCCAGTCGGCGAGCAGGCCAAGCCATCGAGGATAAGCTGGACGAAAGGCTGGACATTCCGAACGGCACGCTGGACGATATGACGTCTCTGAACGGGACCCCACCAGGGTGAAGGCATAAAGATCGATACAGGTGCACTGTTTAATGGCTCGCCGTCCCATGCATCTTCCCGTCATCTCCCCCCCCTGGCTCCGTTTTCCATGCCCCAGGGGCTTCCGCAGGCGAGGACCTGTAGGGACCTTGGGGGAGATCTCTGGAGAGGAAGAGAAGGAAGAGGAGGAGGAGGAGGAGGAGGAGGAGAACCAGTGTAAACCCAATAGTCATCAACGATATTGGAATAAAACCTCCCTTCCACGATCCCTCTTCCTAGGCCCCTACAACGGTTCATGTAAGTGCCTCGCCTCGTTGGAAGACAACCGTTTGAAGACCCTGAAGCATGCCAAAAAATTGTTCTCGGGAATCCAACGCCACAAATCCACCTGACTGTTGCATCTTGACGATCCTGAATCGTGCCAGAACGCCATTCTCGGGACTTCAACACGGCGAGACAACGTAATTGTTGGACCCTCATAATCTTCAACCATTCCAAAGACCCATTTCTGGTACGCTGACCATCGGAATCCGTGAAACGCTTGCAAATGTTAAAAACGATTCTGCACGGTCCTATGGCGAGAGCCACATGTTGAAAAGAAACCGCCATCAACCCGTGAAAGTCTTGCAAGTGTTAAAGCGAATGCACGCGGCGCTAGGGCGAGATCCACAGTTTGAAAACGGGTCGCCCTCAATCCGTGAAGCTCTTCAAGATGTTACAAACGAGTGTGCGTGGCGCCATGGCGAGAGCCACATGTTGAAAGCCACCCGCCTTGAAACTGCCGCCCATGTTTAAGCTTCAAGGTCATAAATGGTAAGGACATATCAGGCGAAACACCCGGCCCGCCCTAAAAATTGGCCCCCGGGATGCGACAGGGAGAAGTTGATTATAAGGGAAATAATGGACGTGGAGTTGGAGGAGGAGGAGGAGGAGGGAGAGGAGGAGGAGGAGGGAGAGGAGGGGAGACAGGGAAATTGGGAGGAGGAGGAGGAGAACGAGGAGGAGTAGGAGTAGGAGCAGCAGCAGCAGCAGGAGGAGGAGGAGGAGGAGATGAAGGAGGAGGAGTAGGAGGAGCAGCAGCAGCAGCAGGAGGAGGATTGTTTGCCCGCTACAGGCCCTTCCACCTCTGTAAACGCTCTGGCGGCATGGAGGGGCAGGCCGCCAGCCCCTGGTCACTTAAAGTTCCGACCAGGGTCCTCGCTCGACCGTGACTCTGTCATTCTTCGGATGAAGGCCACGGCATATCCTCTGCCAACAATGCCGCGCACCCGCACTGCTGGGGTGGTCGGCGCACTGGCGAGACAAATTCATAGCACGCTGCCCGCTGATGGCCTTGCACCTCAGGCAAACGATAAGACGGGACGAGTCGGAGCACTCGAGAGAAATGCACCGATGCCCTTTCTCTGCAAGCAGCGCAGGATCGAGTCGACTGCGCTGCGGGCAAACGCCAGGCGGAGGAGGCCAGAACCACCCTCCAATGCCATGCTCCTGCGGCGGGGCCCGAACCCCGCGTGAGGCAGCCAAGCAAACAGTGCATCTCCAGAAGGCTCCTATCTGCTGCCAGGCGTGTGGAGCGGCTGCAGCTGTCCCTAGGCCAGCACCGCTCTCACGACACACGACCTCACGAACGACATCAGGACCCATCTCGAGAGGCGGCCATAGCGGGAGGAGCTTGGCAGCCAGCAATCCCACAGCTCGCGCGACTGCAAATTGCCTATCAAGCTCCTCAGTCTGCTCCCTGCTGGGCTGCGGGTGGGAGGCCGCAGCGACCTTGGCTGCGGCGTCCACATAATTATTGCCAATACGAAGGAAGCGGTCTCGGTCGCCGGCCGCTTCGTCAACATTATGATGAGCCTTCACTTTGCTCGTAGTGATGACTGGTAAATTATCACGCACGAACTGGGCACACCCCGAGTACAAACGTTTGTAGCTGGTCTGTTTGGTCCAATCTAAACTGGCATATTCTACAACATTCTGGCAGTCAGAGTGTATTGTAGAGGGGTTGGAAACAAACCTAGCAGCAGCACAAAAAGCGTGGTATTCAGCACTCTGGGGGGTCTGGGGGTAGGGAGGCCACACAGGGCCCCGAATCCTGATCATCTCCTGCATGTTGGAAGGGTCGAGCAACGAGACGGCCCATCCAGCACGTGAGAGCTCGCCCACTGGATGTCGTAGGCAAGAACCATCAACAAAAATCTGACCAGCGAAGTCCTGATCGAAAACCAAATGCTCGTACCCCTCACAAAGCTCCGTGACGACCCCCTCCTCGAACGACGGCTGGGGGAGGGCCTCAGCTGGGTGGGGGAATAGGCCGTAGCAAGCCAGGGCGTCGTCCGCTTGGCCTGCCCACTCCCGCACCTTAGCTGGAATCAGCTCCGACCTGAGATCCTCACAGGCAGAGCAACGCCAGAGACGGTGACGAATCGTGTCGTCTCCATCTCGACAAAGAGGGCAGATGTTATCAATAATGTAACCCAGGGACGTGGCCTTGGCCCTGGTGTAAATAGCATTGCAGAAGAGAGAGCGGACACAACCTTTTTCGAAAGCCGAAAACTTCCGAGAGGTGAGGTGGCTGAGAATCCCAGCAGTGCAAACCCGACCGAGATTGTGCCTAGCTCCCAGATCCCACTCGAGGGTACGACGCACCGCTCTCCCAAGCAGCGATCTGACCATCGCGGGCGAGACCTGGGTCAAGTGAACATCGATTCCTTTCTCATCTCGGAGCACCGTGAAGGACGGCATGGACCACGAAATACGCTCAAGAGACTTCCTCATCGCACTGATCGGGCCCGCGACACTTTTCCAGAGGCCCGAGGGCCTCAAGAACACAGCATTCCAAGCCGAACGCAGCGTGGCGAACGAGAGGGCATGGGGGTACAGCCGATGATGGGTAGTCCAAACTTCTTTCGCCCAACGGTAGACAGGGGCAATGGATGCGACCCACGGCGGGTCGCCGTGGCACAGCATGAGAGCGGCGAGCGACCGACCTCCAGCACTAGGCTTCAGGGCCGCCCCAGCCAACTGCCTAAGGGAGAGGAGCTCATGGTCCGTAACCCCTGAAATCTCGCACCCATACACAGCCCCAGGGAGAGGACCCGCGACGAAGACATTACGACAACGCTTACCCGAAATGGCGGGCCTCATTCGAACCAAACGAGCAGTCCTATCTTTCGCCTTCCTAAACCTTTCCTTAGCCTTGGAATTTCTCCCTCGAGCCCTGGACGGCCTACCAGAGCAAAAGTCAACTCCCAAATTGGTCGCCGAGTCGGAGCCCAGAATCGGCCCCGCGGGACCCCCGAGAGCCCGAGAGATGGCTTTGCCTAAGGGGCGCGAGGAACACATTAAGGACATCTTTTCCTTACTGATGACCGCGCCCACTCCGTGGACGAGGGCGCCATGCAAGTCAGCCGCGGCCTGAGGTAGCCGCTTTAAAACTTGTTTCAAGGAACCCGTGGCAGACAGGCCTCCATCGTCGATGTAGAGTTTGAACTGGACGGCCTGAGGGAGGCGGAGGGCGTCCAAATCTTGAATAGCATTAACCCTGATGAAGGTCGCGGCCAGGGAACACCCCGCCACCACCCCCGCCAGGGCCCAATAGGGCCCGTCCACGAAACCTCCCACGGACAGAAACCTGGCCTGGGAGTACATGGCAGTGCACAAGTACGAAATACCAACAGGAAAACCAACCTGGTGAGCACGGAGGGCCAGAACCTGGAGATCCAGGGTCTCATAGTACTTGTACAAGTCAGTTAACAGAGTGGCGCATTCCATCCCTTGCGCAGTGTTGGCCTCGGCATTGCAGGCTTGGCGCCAGACGACGTCCTGCGCCCCCTCAAACGGGCCAGCACAAAAAAAACTCACGCGTGAATCTAGCTTCCCATTTGTCGGCGAGAGTTCGGCGAAGCTTACCATACAATCTAAACGCGCTGCAGAAGATGCCGATAGGACGGAACCCCGATGACGGTTTGGCAATCAGAGCCATGGTGATGATGGAAATCTGCATGGGGATGACAGCCGACCTCCCCATCAAACCTAAGATGTCACACAGGAGGCTGAGACTGGCATCTGACATCATCGCAAAGTGCTTCATATGAAATCCATCAACCGAAACCGCGGTGCGCTCACGGAAGCCTTTGGAGACCGCACGGATATCTTCGGGCCTAAATTCGGGCAACGCAGGGGACAAACCACCCTTGGGGAGCCACGGGCGGGCCTTTCCGTCACCCCAGAGGCCCGAGAAACGCTGGCTTTCGGCACGAAGGAGGGACAAGGGGTCCGCAACCACAACACCGTCACTGGCCAAGGTGGTGGTAGGCCTCCAGGGGGTGGCCCCCTTCGAGACCACATGTATATTCCTCGCCCCTTGATCCGCCTTCTCTAACAGCCAGTCTCTCCATTCAGCCGAGGCCGCCTTCCTGGCGTCGCACTCGACTTCCTGCCAGCGGTCATTAAAAGTGTTGCGCCAGCAGACAAAATCTCGAGAAATGATTGCAAAGCGCGCTCCTGGAGCCGCATCTCCAGGAGCGACATCATGACGTCGACGTTTCAGTAAATCCCCCTGACGAGAAGTCTGCTCGTGCACCTCCAGCGCATCGAGCACGACGCCCCCGACCTCGACGAGGTACGGGAGCAGGCGGGGGCTAGCATCAAGGCCGCTGGCTATGGCCCCGACAGGGGTGCGCAGTACATGTAGCACAGAAGCAACACCTGCACGATCACTAGCTTCCCAGTGGAGCCCAAGCCTCTGCGACTGAGAGTTAAGCCACCTATGCGCAAACAAGACGGGCTGCTTAGGGATCTGGGTGTCGGGGGCCAGGATGCATTTCCATATGAGACAGGGGCCTTCCCTCGGGACCCACGGAAGGGGAGCTGGGCGCCAGTGGCCACGGCCACTTCCGCCTCGGCCTGGTCCGCCCAAAGCCGATACAACTGGTCCACAGAAGCCTGGATGGCGTCGAAGTCCCCCCTGTCCACCGCAATCCGAGCTTCATCCAACGCACGGGCG